ACGGCCAGTGGGGTCTCACTGCTGCTGAGGCGACCTCGGAGACGATGCGTCGCCCCTCCTGTCGGCGACCTGCGGTGAGCAGGACTCCAGATAGCTGTCTGGCACGTTGCCGACACTGCCAGACGCTGTCAGCAGGCCTCACTGCTGCAAGTGATGTGCAGATGGACGCCAGGTGACTTCGTCTGCAGGCGATTCCGGAGACCGCGGCCTCACCAGGCAGTACCACCTGCATCGCCGTGTCGGTGTTTCTAGAAATGGAAAAATAACAGTATCGGTGAAGGACAAGCAATACAATGTATTCTGTTTTCCTCTCTTGCAGGTATACGTAATCTACAATTATCATTGTTCCTATTTCATTCAACTGAACCTGAAAATTCCACATTGGCACATTGTTTGACTAAATTTGTGTAGTTGGGAACAGGGGCGACGCCACGGTGCGACGACTGGAGGGGACATTGACCATTTTGAAGGGGACGAGGACCATTTCAAGTTGATTCTTTCCATGCAACGGCGTTTGTTAAAATTTTAAAAAGTGGAGGGGACGAGATCCCCTCCGTCCCCCCCCCCCCCCCGTGGCGACGCCCTTGGCTGGGAAGCAGATTGTTTGAAATACATGTTTGGCTGAACAGTGCGGAAAATATTTCATTGATCACTATAGCTGCAACAAAAATACTGAGACAGAAAACATTTGCGCTTACCTGGCTCCTTAGTCAGTCCCGCACAACGGAAGTGGTACCATTTATCGCAGCCGTCGCATCCGACCATCGGTGCTGCACTGATGCTGCTGCACTCCCCACATTCCCAGTACCTTAGGAGCGTCTTGGCTGTGAAAAGATTACATGAGTCATGGCGCATACATGAATAGTAAGATGTTTTATATGTTTAACATCGCATAGCAAAGACACAACAGCTGGGAGTCAAGTGTAAGCCAAAGTGTAAGCCCTGCCATGTTTTGCAGACTGGATTTTAAGCAAGAAAAGCTTTGCTAAAAATGACGCTTGACGAAGCCTCATCCTACTGGACTGTCTGACATGTCTCCCTGTAAAAAGCATGTGGCCCGTATATTGTATATATGATGAATGTTAATAATGCAGAGAAAATACAGTATAAATTATACCCAACGTTTCATCTTAATCGACTTTGTCAAGGGTGTTTGAACAGCTTGAGATGAGTGAAGTGTAAGGGTACCTAGGTACATCTCAGTTGGGCAAACTAGACCTTTGGAATCAAAATATGGAGGCATCAAAAGATTGATTCCTTTTGGGCATAAATGCAGACCATTTCTAACTTACCAATCACATAAAAATAAGAGCGTGTTTCAAGAAGGAGCATGCCTGATCTTGAACAGAAATGCTTGAACTATCTCCTAAGCAAAATAATATTGCTCCTATCATAACAATTTGAATTCTATAGGTAGTGAAAGGCAATCAAGGAATTGATTCACTTTAAACAGACAATCATAATATTGATTCCCCATCAGCTGGCTAATCATTATTTTGATTCACAGGTAATGTTAACAGATAGGCAACAATTACATGCAAGAATACAGCATTTATCTTGCTATTATTCTCATTTAGTGGTATTCTCAGCACCACAACTGATACATACAGCATTGTTGTACTTCACCTTCACTACATTTGATAACAATTCACAATTTTTAAATGTCAAGAATACAAAAACTGAAGCAACAGGTAAAAACCATATAAATAATACAAAAGCACTACAACAATGATAATTAGGGGTTTAAAAATTTCATTTTGCCATTTTACACAAATACTGATTGGTTAGTATGTGATTCATGATACCATAAAATGGGGTGTTAAGGGACAGTGGGGTGATAAGGGACAGTTGCATGGGAAAAACTTTGAGTCATGTTAAGTTCCTAATTTGAGAAGGTTAAATAAAAACTTGAGTGTGGTAGTTGACACTGTTTTGTTCTTGGCTATAGGACAAAATGGCATGGTTTTTCATGCAAGTAATTTGGTTCAAAAATGGTTTTGAAAATCATGCTACATTTTCACAAAACTGAGACATCTCCAAAACTCTGCGTGTACCACATAAACTAGTAGGTGTACAGGTAAAATGAATGCATAGGTGTATTGTCACATGTATTGCACATGTTTCCTGAAAAACTTATACAAATCCACCCATTCATTCATCATCCTCTTCCTCTTTTCCGGACACATGCATATTTTGAGGTGGATGTGGGGTGCTAAGGGACAGGGAAGAAAAAACAAAAAATAATATGTTAATGTAATTTCATAAAGTTTGCTTTCAGTAGGCATGGAAAACACCACATTCCACATAAAATGCTGGCAAGTTCATGCTTTCATCTCTAACACATCTTAAGTTGTATAACAAAACACCTCAAAACTCGCTTAACACTCTCTTTTACAATGATGGGTCAATGAAGACTGATGTAGGCAGAGCTGGGCGCGTTCCTCGATTTTCGGTAGTGCGTTAGCGTTCCTGCGTTCCTCCGGCCGCGGTTAGTGCGTTCTTGGAATAGCGTTCCTCAATTTTTTTTCGCTCGGTGCGTTAGCGTTCCTGCGTTCCTGCGTTCCTCCTTCAAAAATACCGCCGAACCACGCGGCGCGGGCCCAACCAAACACGGGGCGAATCGATCACAGAATACCCAGAATGGCGACGTGGGGCCGAAAAGCAACTCGACATCTCTTTTCCGAATCGAATATCTGAAATACGTTTTACCAATATCATCCGTAGGGTTTTCAACAAAAATACGACCTGCTTAAAAACAATAGTTAAGTTAAAAGATGTATCTTAGTAAAAGTTATCATATTTACTTTACACATTTAATGCCTGAAACCGAATCGAATAGTAAACATCACCACTAAATCTAAGCAAGCCTTCCTCGATTCGACCGACAAGTGGCGCCTCTACCGGCAAACACACGTACTCGAGATTCAAACATTTGACACAGAGGTCATTGGCAGCAATATCATTTTTCGGGTGGTTCCGCAAGAACGCAGGAACGCTTCAAAATTTCGGGTGGTGCGTTCCTCTTACTTGCGTTCCTTTGAAAAACTTTGCGTTCCTGCGTTCTTGCGTTCCTAAAAAGGGCGGTGCGTACGTACGGAGGAACGCAGGAACGCACTAAAGGAACGCACTTGCCCAGCTCTGGATGTAGGTAAATGTGATATCATCATAAAAAGGCCAAAACAAAGAGGGCCACTTAAAGACAAGTGACTAGCTTCAAAATGGGTTTTTGTTGACAACAGAAGGGTACTTTTTGGTTCTGTTTACCTTATTATAAGCACGTTTTCCAGAAGCGTAAACTGCATTACGTATAATTGGCTAAAAAGGCCATTAGTGGTGAATGAACCTGACTTGTTTTGTGACAGAATATGCAAAACATTTCAATAAATAAATTGTGTGCCCTTTCACACCCCAATCGTGGGCATTTGATGACCATTTCTTGGAATAATATAGGTGTCCCTTAACACCCCACATTGGGGTGCTAAGGGACAGTGATGAAAAATAATAAAAATAATATGCATGTTTATATTTTTAAAACTTTAATGTAGCAGGCATGTAAAGCACCAAATTCCACATAAAATGCTTACAAGTTGATGCTTCTATCCCCAACCCTTCTTGAGTTATATAACAAAACACCTCAAAACTGTCCCTTAACACCCCGTTTTACGGTACCAAAATAACATACAGTGTGATTTCCTCAAAACAGCTTTTACGTGATGGACAGTGGCTCTGTCTTTTTCCCATTCACAAGGCCAAAGGGACAATTTCTTAGCTTTGAGGTAACACTTTTTGCAAACCTACCACATTTTTCTACCTTTTAAAAGAAAAATCTCACCGTCATGGGCCTTTTTTCAACCGTAACGATTCATTTGAAGTCAAAAGTGTACCCAAATGAATCAAAAAATTGATTCCATGCCCATATTTGGTCATGGCTCCTCCCACCAGAATCAAATTATTGATGCCTCCATATTTTGATTCCAAAAGTCTAGTTTGCCCAACTGATCTGAGCCCTGATCGGCGGCCGGCTAGTACTCTTGCCCGCGCTCACATACGTGCACGTTACCCCGGCAACGGGCTATTGACCAATGAGAAGCGAGAAAAGTGTTACGTCACTGCGATTTTTCATATACCTGTGCCCCCCGGACGTGACGTAGTGTGCTCGCGTGCGTGCAGGGTCTCTGCGATCGAAAAAGAGCGCTAGCAGCGCGCCACTCGACGCCGCAATTGTCTAAAGCGGCGTGTTAGTATGCTTTATTATGATGTGTGTAAAAGTGAGTTTTTACGTTGTTTATTTGGAGGAAAGGGTTGGAATAAATTAAGTTATTTTTATTTCTGTTGATTGGAGTTTTTATTCAAAAGATTTCGTTCTATAGCATTGATATTTACTGAAAATACCTCCGCTTGAATAAATTGCAGATGTTTGGCAACTCAAGTGTTAAGTAAGCCAAAATGATATGTAAAAAGGTAAGAGACACCCTGATTATCATTTGAGAAACGAAAATATATGAATTTTCCTTATAAGACTCGCTCAATATGCTACTCCGCGGTTTATGCCCCGAGGGTGTCCGAGGGTTCCCGTTAGTTTGTCTTTGGCGCTCTGGGCCCTGGCCCTGTTTCACCGGTGATAGCAGCACGCTGCTCTCAAATTGCGCGAGCTGACGTAATGTGATGACGTCATACTGCTGACGTAAGGGGCAATTCTGGCGCACGATTGCCGCAATATTGTTTAACGTCATCAGCTAAATGTTCGAAGTTAATGTCCAAATTTTTCCTAAACCCAACTTCTTTTAAATACATCATATTGAAAAAATATATATCAAAAATATATTTACTATCATGACTGCGTAAACTCTTACTTTTAGGCTCATACGTCACTTAATGCCGCCGCCAAGGTCACGGCAATCGTGCGCCGGAACTACCCATTACGACAACAGTATGGCGTCACGACATGACGTCAGCTCGCGAAACGTGATAGCAGCTTGCTGCTATCACCGGTGAAACAGGGCCCGGGAGACATCGAACGCGGGGTGAGCCATTTCGATTTGGGCATACGAATCTGCTGCTGAGAAACTTATTTTCGGTAAGTCCAGTGACTTTTCATTTTTACGGTTGGTGATGGTTTCAGCCAGTTTCAACATTGAAAACGTGTTTTGCCTTTTGCCGCATCCAGTGTTTTTATATACCTTGGCCGCATCTTGATCTTGATGTTGATCATGCAATCTTGTGCTTTTCACCCATCTAGTAAGTCAATCAATGTGCAATGGCCAGTCCCAGGGCAAGATGGTGTTTCAGGTCCACTGCTAGCACACTGCCAGTGCCAGTGTATTTTGCAAGACGATGTGATGTCACACTTGGGTAATTCTTGTGCATGATTGTCACAATATTGAGGGACATCCTCAGTTAAGTTGTTAAGGTTGAAGCCAGAACGTCCTCAACAGCATCAAATTTTACTTCTAGGCTGATGACATTGCTCTATATTCCGGCAATCATGCACCAGAATTTGCCCAGTCCTGGCGTCAGCTCACATAATCTGCTGGCAGTATGCTAGCAGCAGCCGTGAAACACCACCCAAGGCCCAGACCAAGACTAGGTAGCCCTTTCCCAGTCTGGAAAACATGGCAGGGAGCTCGACAAGATTTTCGGGGCAGACAAAATCCTGCCCCGAATCAATGCTGAGTCAGAGGCAGCCCAATTCCCACCCCTAATTTTGTCTGCCCCGAATATCTCGTCAAGCTCCCTGCCACCTTTTGCAGACTGGTCTGTGAATTTTTTTTTAACTTCTCCACCAGATTTTCCTGTTTCTGCCCCAATGTTTCTGAAACCTGCCCCTATTTCTGCCCCGACCTGTGGTGTCTGCCCCGACGAGATCTCGTCGAAGCCTGCCACGTTTTGCAGACTGGGCCCTTTCTGCATGTCAAATGATGTTCAAACTGTGTGCTTGACCTTACCTTACCTTACCTTACCTTACCTTACAGAGATTTCAGTTGGGCAAACTAGACCTTTTGAATCAAAATATGGAGGCATCAAAAGATTGATTCCTTTTGGGCATAAATGCAGACCATTTCTAACTTACCAATCACATAAAAATAAGAGAGTGTTTCAAGAAGGAGCATGCCTGATCTTGAACAGAAATGCTTGAACTATCTCCTAAGCAAAATAATATTGCTCCTATCATAATGTAGTAAAGACCTCTTCTTCTAAGAACTGTATTTACTTAGCAGCCCAGCACGCTCAAGCTATCCTGGAAACAGGGACCCCAAATCAGTAGCTGCAGACATGCACAAGCGCCCGTCACATGCAGCGCCATGCAGGGGCCCAATCCCACCAGAGCATGCCCAGTAGGGTGTGTCGACCACAAAGAATCAAGTGGAGACAGTTATATTTTATGGCCCAATAGCATGGCAAGACGATTGCTTCGAAAATTACCAGTCAAAAATGAGAAACTGAGTCCCGCGAGGCAAAATTGTTCGCCGACTTGGTCCCTTTCTGGCGATACTAGCGCCCCCAGCTTATACAGTAGCGGCCGTTCCGAAAGCTTTAGTTACATAGGTGGCGCCATAGTCGACCAGGCATTAGGCAATGCAGTCGCACACGAACGATTCTGACAGGATGCTGATTTGCTTGTTGCTAGAAGCGATATAACAGTGTAAGACGCGTGTGGTGGAATAGGCACTACGAAAGTTTGTCAAATACGCACGTTGCACAGTCAGCTTAGCGGGTTATTTAACAGAATAAATCAAATGCAAGTTTGCGCAATATAATGCAGTTTGACAATAGCACAGTTGGATCATGGATGGTGGTATACGGTAAGCCTTGGCGCTGCAGCGTGTAGTCATGATGACGAGCTTATGTCAGCACATCTCGCTTGGAGTTGAATACGGGGATGATTTTGCGGTGTTTGAAGCTTGCCGTGATATGGCCGTGCCGCGCCTCATCGCCCACAACTCGTGAGCTGGCCAGTAACGTAGCGAAGGGGGCCCCTATGGCCTAATGGTCCCTAGGGACCCTCCTTGGGCCTTCCATGGGCCCCTGTCCCCGAAGCTGACGGCAGGACCCTTCGAAGTTTCGTTTCAAAAGTTCCGGGTTGGGCTGCTTCAAATGGGGACCCCACATGTACCTAGGTATGGGGGCTTTACCTACGTATACCCTACCCAATTTTTTAGGGCGGACTTCACCCACTTTATTTTTGATCGGCCTCTTTTTCAATTTTTATTTTATATTTATTTCTTATAGTTTGGTTGAAGTCCAAGGGACCCTCTTCAGAGCTAGTGAAGAGGCCCAGTGGTGACTGCCCACTACTGAAAGCCCACCCCATTTATCAGGACACTCACACATCCATTACATTCATAACATTCATACACGTTTGGGGAAAGTGTCCAAGTCCACTGGGGCAGGTTAGTTAGAGGGGAATTCACAGTCATAGCCAAGTCATCATCAAACTCAGGTCAGATTCAGTTCAGCGTATGTCAGCAGCAAGGTAGCCCGGGCTCCCAGAGCACCCAACGAAGCGAGGCTTGTTGTCGGGCGCTCCAAGCTGCCCTATGAGGTGAGCTCATGACATGATGGGGTTCTCTGACTAACATCTGAAGGGTCCTCTGCTAGTGTAAAAGAACCGTTATTTGCGCGAGGGGCCCTTTTTGGACCGAGAGGGCCTTCCGTCAGCCTGAGGGGCTCTTTGTTCGTCCAAGGGGTCTTACATCAATCGGCGGGGGGGGGGGGCGTTTCCCCACCTGGGGAGGTCCTCTATCCGACTTGAGGGCCTCTGTCAGTCTCAGGGTCTCTCTCCCGACCTGGGACCCAACACAAAATGTTGTTTTAGATTGGGTTTTCGGCATCGGAGATCAGCTGTGCCGTACTTATGTCATAAGACACGCAAAACGGCACCCTTTTTCCACATATATCCCTCACACAGAACTAATATTGTATCCAATATTTGTTTATTGCGTGCTTCTGCCAACGCAATAAATTCGTTTAGAAGAAGGTAATTAAAATAGAAAGTAGGATATTTACCAGTTGCATTAACCCTCGCCGGTACAGGGGGTTGATGCAACCCCCTAAGGTTTTTCGCAAATAACTCGCGTAAAAAGCTGCCGATCGCAACGAAACTTTCAGTACCCTCGCATTAATCAATTTTACACCTACCCTGAAAATTTCATTACCCTGACCCAAATGACCTTTGACCTGTGATGTGACATCTTTTCCGAGACCATGTTTGGCCGGAATCGCGATTCGGCGTATGTCGGCTCGCATTAGCCGCGCGTTTGCAAGCTTTTCGTGGTTTCAAACGTTCAAACATGTGATTTGATGTTGCTCCCATACATTAGGGTGGGTGTCAAGGTCACCTGAAGGGCACGTCAGGTCATTGACCTTTGGTGACCTCGGGTGACCTCGGTTCACTTTTTCGAGTTTTACATGATTCTAGGCTAGTTTTTGGAGCTGAATTGGAATTAAGCAACCATTTGAACATTTACGAAGTAGTTTGGTGCCTTCGTAACATGTTACGAAGCTGTCAGAGGCGGTTGACACGTATTACGAATACCCGTCACAACCCCTACCGGTTGACCTGACCTGACCTGACCCGACCTGGTCTAAATGCTTAAATGCATCATCTCTGATCAAAACTAACACGATATTCGTGATCAGCACCCCGGAAAACCACAAAGAAGCCAAACTTAACGACTTTCTAACAGGTCCCGATTTTCCCGGTTTTCGGGTCATTGACCTGACCTGGAAGGTCACCCGATGACCTAGGACCTTAAAATTGGGTATCATCGGCTTCCTCTCGTGACGGGCAACACGCTCGTTTTTTCAGCGAAGGTCTAGCTCGATCAGGGGCCAAACGCGAGGGCGTCAACTATCAGTCACATCAAAAATACGGTTGTCCTAGGTAGCGCCACCAACAAAAACCGTCATTACAGATGTCGCTGGGGTAGATTAGGTCGGTTCGGGCCCATCCGCCAAAAATCGTTCGCGGCACTCAATTAACGCATGCTAAGTGTTCTGGTGCTAATAAATCAATTTCATAATACCATAGGCCATAAAAAATCGCTGTCTCCTCAAGATCAAAGAGAAAAACCCTTAGTATGACACACCCTAATGCCCAGGCACACAGCACAAACCATCCACATTACATGCAGCCGGAATCCATTATCACATTTCTCCCCGCAGCAAAGGCAAGGCACATTGACGGGGTGAACACAGTGCACGCGCCAACCCCCGCTCCACGAGCGTGGCACATCCTAAACGCTTAAGGACAACGTCCCACAGCGATCGGCTCAAGGCCTGTGCTATGCAAACAATCGCGGGCCCATTCTCACATCGGACACTGGGACACTTAACACTAGCAAACACACCAAAATCAGAAATAAATCCATTCTCCAAACCGGTCTGGACACGCCCTGCTCCTTGTCCCCCTCCTTGGTACATCAGTAACGGGACGGGATTCGCTCACCGATGAGTGAGAATCAGTCCCTCCAGCCTCTCCTACAGCTTCGGGCACAGATTCAGCTTCCCCCGGTTGAGTCTCCGCAGCGTCTCTACTATCCTCTCCGCGCCTAATCACAGCCCCCTCCCCAATCAACGCTAACCCGGGCTCGTCGTGATCAGACCCCCCGCATCTAGCTACCGGCGTGGCTCCAGTCACAGGCGACGAACCACCGGTCCCTTCGTCATCTCGAGGAAGCTCCGTCCGCCCCGCGTCCACAAGAGCCTGAACACGACCGTCAGTCGAGTCTTCAGGCACCCCGACTGCAGTTGAGGGCACAGAACCCATCACAGTCAACTGTGGGACAGTCAACTCCAAGTCGCTATCATGCGCCGGTCCAGCCCCCGATGGACGCGCACGCGTGTCACCGGTATCCGACCGAGCGCCAGGGATCTCACCATCCGAATCCGACTGAGCGCCAGGGACCTCAGGCTGGCCATCCGACAACGATGAATGCCCAGCACCACCAGTGGAGGCATCGTGAGGGATCTCCGGTGACTGTGCCAAGACCACGTAGCCGTCATCTTCCCTACACGTGCATGGCTTCATACGGTCATGATGAACAACAAACGACTTCCGGCTGCCCTCTTCTTTAACGCGATAGGACTGGGGAGACAAGATCTCCATAACCACGAACGGGCCCGACCACGGCCGCTGCAGCTTGGGGGACTTTCCGACAGTCCTAACCGGTTTGTGGACCCATATGAAATCACCCACCTGGTAAGTCAACTGGTTGACCTGATCGGTCCGACTCGCTGCCCTCAAAGCTGCTGCCTCTTGGATTGCTTTGCCCACCTTCTCTCGAATCTGGTTCTGATCGACACCGCACGCTACTGGCGCTGCTGGACATTTGTCAGCATGACAAACGACGTCCAACGGGAGACGAGCTGACCGACCAAAGAAAACTGAAAAGGGCGTCATGTTCGTAGACTTGTGTACGCTCGTGTTGTATGCGAACACAACCTTTGGGAGGACCTCATCCCAGTTCCTCTGGTCCTCACTCACGAACATGGAAAGCATCGAACAGAGCGTACGGTTGAATCTTTCAACCTGGCCATTCCCCTGGGGATGGTAAGCCGAGGTCCTTGTTTTTGAAATACCCATGTGTTTGCACACTGCCTGAAACAAGCGAGATTCGAAGTTCCGACCTTGGTCAGAATGAATGGTTTCTGGGCAGCCGTACCTACAGAAGAGGCGGTCAACCAGAATACGTGCCACCGTACCAGCCTCCTGGTTTGGCATAGAAAACGCCTCCACCCACTTCGAGAACCCACATGTCACCACCAGGATGTATCGATTGCCATCTGCAGTCACAGGGAAAGGTCCGGTCACATCGACTGACACCCACTGCCAGGGACCACTTGGCACGGGCATCTTGCCAAAAGACGCCCGGGGTTGAGGTGCCGGACTCTTTCTCTGGCTACATGGAACGCACGACTTCACGTACGTCGCGACATCCCGAGCCATGGATGGCCAATGAAATCGATCCCTAAGACGGGACAACGTCTTGTCGATGCCCAAGTGTCCCGAGCACTGTGTGTCATGACTCTCATGCAGCACCTGGCGGACACCCGCCGGAGGCACCAACAACTGGCGATGGCCCTCGTGCGTCGTGAACAGAAGTCCCGTCCCCCGATCAACCTCCAACGAGTCACGGCGACTCAGATAGAACTTTACCACCGAGGAGGCGTCCGATGGACACGGGACACCGCTCGCAAGACACGATGCGATCATCAAGAAGTCAGCGTCTGACATCTGGAGACGCAACAAGTCCTGCGTATCTGAGCGTAAGTGTACCTCACGAACGGCCCGAGACAGAGCATCAGCATGACTTATCTTCCGTCCAGCTTTGTACACCATGGTATACGAGTACTGTTCCAGTTCCAAGATCCACCGAGCCAGTCGCCCTCGAGGATCCTTGCAGGATCGGAGATAGGTAAGTGGACAGTGATCGGTAATAAGCGTAAATGATCTCCCTTGGAGATAAACTGAGAAGTGGCGGACCGCCCAAACAACTGCCAAACATTCCCTCTCAGTCACACTGTATGACATCTCGGCCTTTGACAGGCACCTGCTGGCGTAGGCCACGGGTCGCTCCAGCCCGTCCACCCGCTGACTCAGCACAGCTCCTATGCCGACAGTGCTGGCGTCTGTTGTAAGAACGAAATCCTTTTGGAAATCTGGAAAGGCGAGCACCGGAGCACTCATAAGAAAGCCCTTCAACGCGAGGAACGACTCTTCGCAAGAATCGTCCCATTGAAAGCGTGCCTTCGCCTCTGTCAGCCTCAATAAGGGCTTTGCTACCTCCGAAAAAGACGGAATAAACTTACGGAAGTAGCTGGCAAGTCCAACGAACTGTCTGACCTCATGGACACTGGCTGGACGGGGATACTCCTGCACTACCCTAACCTTTTCTGGGTCTGTACTTATTCCTCCTTCGTTGATCACATGCCCCAAAAATTTGACTTCCCGTTTAAACATAACACACTTCTCTGGGTGAAGCTTAAGACCGCTATCGCTTATCGCCTCGAGGACATGCTCAAGACGCTGCAGAGACTCACCGAAAGACTTCCCAAAGACCACTATATCGTCTAAATAAACTAGGCACTCTCTCCACGTGAGACCGGCCAACACGGCCATCATCAGGCGCTGAAATGAAGCAGGTGCCCCTTTCAGCCCGAACGGCATCCTGTTAAATTCAAAAAGCCCCAAGTGAGTGGAGAAGGCAGTCTTCTCCTTGTCCCCTTCCTCTAACCCCTGTTGCCAGTACCCGGATCGCAAATCTAACGTGTGGAACCACACTGCGCCAGAAAGAGAGTCCAAGCAGTCATCCACCCGCGGGATTGGGTGGGCGTCTCCGTGAGTCACATCATTTAGCCGTCTATAGTCCACACAAAGCCTTAGTGACCCATCCTTCTTAAGAACGGGCACGATGGGAGAAGACCACGGCGAAGAGCTGGGTCTTATTACCCCCTGTTTCCACATGTCCCTCACAGCAGTTTCCACCCCTCCGCGCTGGTGGTAGGAAAGCCGTCTGGGTGGCTGAGTAAGCGGACGAGCGGACTCCTTTAGAGGAATCGAGTGTGTCACCAGATCACATTGTCCCAGCTCCCCGTTCAGTGAAAAAGCGTGAACATTCTTTAGCAACAAGTCTCGAAACACATTTTTGTCTGCGTCACTCACTAAATCAGATTTGCTCACCATTCTCTCTACCCAAGCAGTGACAGCAGTATCATCGACTCCCAGGAGCCTGACTTTAGCATCCTCCTTACTCGTAATGTGATCCACCTCACGTAGCGCAGCGTTCTCTGCTATCATCGCAACCTCTGTTTGAGCGGGAAGAAGGATTCCTCGCTCTGATGGGTTCACCACTCTAACGGGTATAGTGCGTGACTCACCCACCACTGCGACACCGGCAGCCGACATGATCCCAAACTTATCTGACAGCACTGGTGAGTGTTCAGTTACCACAGTATCTCCAACTGCGACCGTATCGGGGACACAGCACAATAGAACGGCTTCATGTTTAGGAGGAATGCACACCGAATGAGACATTTTGACACGACCAGCATCAGCCAAAACCTGACAACGCCGCACGGTTGCAACCTTTTTTCGCAAGTCAATCGACACGTGTGATCCCATACGCTCTAACACATCCATACCTAACAGGCAGTGAGGGTCTAAGTTCCTAACGACATAGATGGGGTGGTCACGCACAGTCTTTTCACCCACTGTCACGTCGCATGACACCACTTTTACCAACGGCATCGCACTCCCGTCCACGGTTACCGGAGAGCGCTCTGGCACCACCTCCGCGAGATCTAGGTCCCTCACGACATCCTCCGACACGACGGTGCACTGAGCACCCGTGTCCAGCAGCCACTGTACCGATTTGTGGGCCAGAGCGCCAGTAACAAAAATCTCGCAGTCAGTCCCCGCTTTCACTGCCGTGTCGGACTCATTCCCACACATGCCAACTGATGAATTTAGTCCCACTACACGAAGAATTCCCCTGCCGCACACCGCTCGTGCCCCAACCGACCGTCCCCCGCTACAAGCCACTGAACCCAACCCCGAAGAACCGGAGACAGTCTGAGAGGGCACATATCCCGCCGTCGCACTCCGGCAGCCACCTGCTGCCCCAGCCGAGGACCTGAGCCCAATGACACGAGCGATTCCGCCCCCCGCTTTAGAGCCAGACCCTGACACAGAGGTATGTACCCGCTCTTCCCCCAACCCATCACGAGCATCCTTCACTGAGTCCGGCGCTCGGTCCTCAGGTTCGGCAACTAGAGGCTGTTCACATCTCGCCAAAGTGAACGACGGGGGCGAAGAAGCGGACACTGTCGCTGTACTCACCCGCAGACCCACCAGGTCACCACGCTCTGCCTCGGAAAGCCGCCCCGACGGAAGTCCACGGATCACCTCCCCGTCCACAGGTCCCGACGTCCACAGGTCCCACAGGCGGACCGATCGCCGCAGCAGACGGTCTCCCACCGAAGGTGTCCTTAGTCGTCGGCGGCTCCGCCGCCACCATCAGGCCGGTGTGGCCGGTCTGGCAGCCCGCCGCAGCAGGCCAACCACCAGCCACCGCCGCCGACCGCCCACCGAGGTCGTCTTCAGCCGCCGCGGGTCCCGGCGTCACCATCAGGTCGGTTTGGCCGCCCGCCACAGCAGCCCATCCACCAACCGCCGCCGCCGGTCGCCCAGCGAAGGTGTCGGTCGGGCCGCCAGACACAGCGGACCAACCACCAGCCGCCGCCACGGGCCGCCCACCGCAAGCGTCTCCAGCCGCCGGAGCCCCCGACGCCGCCATCAGGCCGGTCTGGCCGGCCGCCGCAGCAGGCCAGCCACCAACCGCCGCCGCCGACCGCCCATCGAGGTCGTCCACAGCCGCCGCAGGTCCCGACGCCACCATCAGGCCAGTCTGGCCGCCCGCCACAGCAGGCCAGCCACCAGCCGCCGCCGCCGGCCGCCCATCGAAGGCGTCTCCAGCCGCCGGAGGCTCCGGCGCCACCATCAGGCCGGTCTGGCCGGCCGCCGCAGCAGGCCAGCCACCAGCCGACACAGCGGACCAACCACCAGCCGCCGCCGCGGGCCGCCCACCGAAGGCGTCTCCAGCCGCCGGAGGCCCCGACGCCGCCATCAGGCCGGTCTGGCCGCCCGCCGCAGCAGGCCAGCCACCAACCGCCGCCGCCGACCGCCCATCGAGGTCGTCCACAGCCGCCGCAGGTCCCGACGCCACCATCAGGCCAGTCTGGCCGCCCGCCACAGCAGGCCAGCCACCAGCCGCCGCCGCCGGCCGCCCACTGAAGGCGTCTCCAGCCGCCGGAGGCCCCGGCGCCACCATCAGGCCGGTCTGGCCGGCCGCCGCCGCAGGCCAGCCACCAGCCGCCGCCGCGGGCCGCCCACCGAAGGCGTCTCCAGCCGCCGGAGGCCCCGGCGCCGCCATCAGGCCGGTCTGGCCGCCCGCCGCAGCAGGCCAGCCACCAACCGCCGCCGCCGACCGCCCACCGAGGTCGTCCTCAGCCGCCGCAGGTCTCGACGCCACCATCAGGCCAGTCTGGCCGCCCGCCGCAGCAGGCCAGCCACCAGCCGCCGCCGCCGGCCGCCCACCGAAGGCGTCTCCAGCCGCCGGAGGCCCCGGCGCCACCATCAGGCCGGTCTGGCCGGCCGCCGCAGCAGGCCAGCCACCAACCGCCGCCGACGCCCACTTGCCGAAGGCACCCTCAGCCGACGGAGCCACAATCGGATTCGGCGGACCGGCTGCGCCGCTCGTTCCCGTAGGCTCCCATGCCACCGACTGAACGCGAGGACCGCCCGACAAACCCGCGCGCAGTCCCGGCGCCGCGCCCCACGACACACCGGAATTCTGGCCCAGCACGCCGGCGGCGGCCACGCCAGGCGCGCCGCGCCGTAGGCGTCAGGCCGCCGGCTTCCGGGGCAGGGCGCAGCCTCTAGCAAAATGTCCTTCCTGTCCACAGTTGTAGCAGAGAACCTTCTTTCCTTTCGAGTTCTGGTTGATATTAGGCGTGACCTTGCGTTCACATTTGCTTTTGAGAAGTTCTGCAACTTGTTCGCTCAAGGCCTTGACAGTAGATGACAGCTCGTCGACCTTCCCTTCCAGGTGGCCAGAAGGAATGCTCTGGTGTCCCACAGCTCGGACACCACTAGCTGGCAACCCAGAGCTGATCCCTGCTACGCCTGATGAGCTCCTGATCACCTGCTCCAGCTGTCTAGACCTTCTCACTACATTCCTGTAGGCCTCATCAGCCATTCCCGGATCCACCATTACCTGCAGACGCAGGTCGTCAGGAAGCCCATTGATGAAGTGCACCCTGCAGATTTCCTCTCTATCAGCTGAACTGAACTTTGGGTAAGATCTCTTCACTGCCTCTTGTACCCTGTCACTGAAACAGCTGATTGTTTCCTCTGGCTGCTTTTTTAGAGTAGCAAGGGACCTGGCACATTCTGTTGGAACGCCAGTCGCAGCAAACTCTTCCAGCAACAATTGCTCCAATCTAGAAAACTTCAACGTGTGTGCATCTGGTAGCCGCCGAAAGAAATCAAATGCCGCCCCTGACAAATATGCAGGGAGTTGCATGGCTTTCACCTCATCTGTCCATCCATTGGCCCTGGCAACTATGTTAAAGTGGTCCAAAAAACGTCCACAGTCCCCGAGACCATCGTAACGATCTGGACGGACACCAGCCATACTCACAATTGGCGGGGCCATTGACACAGCACCACGCTGTTCACTCTTTGGCCCATCTGCGTCATCTTTCATCCTCTCCTTCACCCCACTTATCTCCTTGTCGTCTTCATTCACCATGGCGAAGGCGAAGGGTTCCGCTGGGCTGCTCTTGCTGCCACCAATGTAGTAAAGACCTCTTCTTCTAAGAACTGTATTTACTTAGCAGCCCAGCACGCTCAAGCTATCCTGGAAACAGGGACCCCAAATCAGTAGCTGCAGACATGCACAAGCGCCCGTCACATGCAGCGCCATGCAGGGGCCCAATCCCACCAGAGCATGCCCAGGCACACAGCACAAACCATCCACATTACATGCAGCCGGAATCCATTATCACAATAACAATTTGAATTATATAGGTAGTGAAAGGCAATTAAGGAATTGATTCACTTTAAACAGATAATCATAATATTGATTCCTCATCAGCTGGCTAATCATTATTTTGATTCACAGGTAATGTTAACAGATAGGCAACAATGACTTGCAAGAATACAGCATTTATCTTGCTATTATTCTCATTTAGTGGTATCCTCAGCACCACAACTGATACCTATAGCATTGTTGCACTTTACCTTCACTACATTTGATAACAATTCACAATTTTTAAATGTCAAAAATACAAAAACTGAAGCAACAGGTAAAAACCATATAAATAATATAAAAGCACTACAACAATGATAATTGGGGGTTTAAAAATTTCATTTTGCCATTTTACACAAATACTGATTGGTTAGTATGTGATTCATGATACAAAAATAGCATACAGTGTGATTTCCTCAAAACAGCTTTTACGTGATGGACAGTGGCTCTGTCTTTTTCCCATTCACAAGGCCAAAGGGACAATATCTTAGCTTTGAGGTAACACTTTTTGCAAACCTACCACATTTTTCTACCTTTTAAAAGAAAAATCTCACCGTCATGCATATTTACGTCTGGACAACGAGTTGCGTTGGAGAGGCCGGAAATAGTGGCGATTTCAGGCGACCCCCACCGGACACGATTTGGTAGCCGAGGTCTGTGACGTCAGCCGGGCGTGAAGTTTTCCCTTCACCATAGGCTTAACACACAAACTGGCTGAAGTTCATTCCAGGATAGCCCGGCCTGAAAGTGCAAAAATGATTAAATTTTGCCCTCGTTAGCTTCATTGCTTCATTTCATAACTAAAAACGTCAGTTATTAGGCCTCAATGAAGGTACAAAGTACTCAAAATAGAAGTTCAAGAAGATGCTGTCCGAGCACAATTTGGTAACATCACGTGACCTCTTTTCAACAGATTGTATATATTTTAGGAATATAATTACACGATTACTGCCTAAGACATCATAAATATTACACGTGTAACATTTATTACTAAAGTTTTAGTCATAACATTGCAAAACGCAAAGTTTATCATGGGAGTCACGTGACCAAAGGTATAGCAGGGGGTTGGGACAAACACTCACAGGATTTCAAGTTTTGTAATTAATTTATATAAGTTTCATGATGAAATTGAAAGATTATATTTTTTCCTAATAGAACACACATTTTCGTTTGTAAAATATTTTTCTTATAGGCGAAATTCTCCATTTAAGAAACGTCTGTGACGTCACCAGGGCTTTACTGTGGCTTTACTCAAAACATCGGACCTACCTGTTTCTTATAGGTATCTTGATTTCAGGACCGCAAGAATGGACCGTCATGGAATGATTCTTTTTTAAACCGTGGACTGTTTTCAGCCGGAATTTAATAGTTACTACAAAATATTTTGTAATTACGTTTCCACCAAGAATGAATGCCATCAGGGCTAAATTTTTGCTTGTATTGCATTTTGTCAAGAAGCATATAGTGCCGTTATATTGCAGTTTTAGCGCGTTTGTTACAAAATATGACGCGAACAAGCGTCAGTGTAATTCATTAGTGCCAGAAGTTAAGAACTTGAGGGGAAGCTATGCTAATTGCTCTTGTCCATCCACTAAAATTTATTAAATATTTTGCTTTATGTATTCCAAAAGGAGAGGGAACTATTTCATTTGTGCCTTCATGTCAGAATTGATGGCGGATCATTAAATTTTCAACGCAGTTTACAAACAAGCATTTGGTCTTTCTCGTATATAAGCAGTGGCTAAGAAAAGGATGATCAATCCTGAAGTTCAGTCATCGTACCTCAACTTGGCAGCAAGATCCCCCAAGGACAGAGGATATATTGTATACATGTCCTGTAAATCAAAGAAACAAGCATTTGGTCTTTCTCGTATATAAGCAGTGGCTAAGAAAAGGTTGATCAATCCTGAAGTTAAGTCATCATACCTCAACTTGGCAGCAAGATCCCCCAAGGACAGAGGATATATTGTATACCTGTCCTGTTAATCAAAACATTTTTGTGCCTGCAAAGGCCCAAGTTATATGTGGTGTGTTCTGAGTTAGGCCATATGGCCGTTTTTGTTGTATGTTTATGCGGAGATTGAATATAACTGTGACCCTGTGCTTGTTTGTATACTTACTATGGTCAAACAGGTAACAGCACATTCACATAACATACTCACCTAGCACCTAACTCATAGCTGTACCCTGCAGGATCTGTACTTGTTCATGTCTCGAGCATTAACAAAGCACTTAAGTAGCTAAGTAATCATTTCCCACATTTCTGAGCATCTAACATGACATACAGCAGTGCAGAGCAGCTTCAGAGAAGAAACACTTTAAATGCACAGCCTCACACCAGCCACCCAATGAGCCAGTTCCTCAGTTGACTGTTTCCCTGGATGCAGCTTGGCAATGTGAGCTAACTTTTGGCAAGTTGAAGGTTAGCAGGTAAGATTGAGTTAGGGTGAGTACCTACCTATAACTGGGTGCTACTGCTATGCAGGTCTTGGGTAGGCTGCAAATATGTGTGATGATTGAGGCTAGGTCAGCTGTCAGGCTAGTCAGGAGTATGATCATTGCTCAGGTCACATTTTTTATGGACACTTGGCAAATTAAAAAACTAACAATCTAATCTAAGCTAACCCGACTAAACATACACAACTACTGAGACTGACTATAGGAACTAAGCACCTACCTACTTGTGCATACATCTCATACCATGTCAAAGTAGAGTTCCTTGGTGGAAGATTACCCTCAGTACTTTTTATCCCAGCCCTGTGAAGAAAACTAATACTTCAAAGCTCTGAGTCACTGCTGGCCATCCACAGGAAGAAACGCTGAGACTGAGAGCTTTGCCATTGTATATTGGACCAATAATCACTATCACAAATGACTATGAACACATTATATGATCACATCGTTGCATGGATTGTCACATTGACAATTCTACTATAATCCTTTTTTCAAGAAATACAGTGATGATTAACATCAAAATCAACATAAAGTGGATTTAGTGATCCAAGCTTTCTCCTCCAGTAGCAATAGAATGATCGCATGTTTCATTTGCCAGACACTGAGTACCTGATGCACATTACAATCTGCATAGCATGAAGCATCTAAGCTGCCCAAGTCCATTCATTCTAGATTTTTAACTTGAAAGTTAGCACTAATTTATCTTGCTGTTGGAAGTTATCATTCTATATCCATACCCATACATCAATATGCGCTCACCAGTCAACATTTTCTGGCATGATCCTGCTCAGCGTGCTCTTCAGTAGGTATTGTTCCAAGGTCTGCAATATTATAGCTTGTTTTTGGCCAATAAGCTCTTTTAATTTTACTTTTTCTTGCTGATTTATGAGCCCGATCACCTTGCGTTTATCAACCAAAATTTCATAACTTGTTCAACTTGTATTGCATTGTATTGTATTGAACAATCATTGCTCAGGAGTCAGGACCTCTGTCAGCCTCCTGGATACTTCGGATTGTTTTCAGTCAACATGCTTCTTAAATATGATACCTATAAGTCAATATTCAAAACATCCAACAAAACGACGTACGAGAGTAAGAAAACCACCAGATAAACTAAAAATGGCCTTGGAACAGAGCCAAGTGGTGCTCCATTTGTTTGTTTACAATGATTGTAGTGCTGATGTATTTTTAGGACTCTGAACGTCGGCTTATAAAAAATGAAACGTTTTTACAAAAGTTGTAAGGCAAGTAATATTTATCTGAAAGAACTAAAATATTCAAAAGACAAACACTATGAAATACATGAATCGGAACGAAAAAGTAACCCAAAAATCCAGCCTAATCACCGGCTCCTAAAACTGCAACAAAATCAGCACTTTTCCCCGCAACTCGTTGTCCAGACGTAAATATGCCACCGTCATGGGCCTTTTTTCAACCGTAACGATTCATTTGAAGTCAAAAGTGTACCCAAATGAATCAAAAAATTGATTCCATGCCCATATTTGGTCATGGCTCCTCCCACCAGAATCAAATTATTGATGCCTCCATATTTTGATTCCAAAAGTCTAGTTTGCCCAACTGATTTACAAATAATCAGTACTGATATCCTCAAGCAATACACCAAGTTTCAACCTTTTAGGTGATAAGCTGTAGGAATGACAGGATCACAAAGTTTTTAAAGCATAGTTATTCAATTTGAACAGGTGACCGGACCCCAGGTGACCTGGGGTCCAGGTATTTGTTTTCAAAACAATGCAATGTTGATGCATGACAAGGTAAAGGTACCAATTTTTTTAACAGTTTCCACCCCTAAAGCCCCAATAAACAAACAAGTTTTCTTAACACTTAAAAAACTGGCTTGTGTGGCTGAACATGCCTTCCCCCACCACCTGGACAAAGCTGCCATGCAAAGGCAAAAACTACTATGTGAGGTCATTCAGACACTGACCTCACATAGTAGTTTTTGCCTTTGCATGTTAGAAAGGTAATCACCACAAAGTATATAATCCATATAATACAATTGTGAATCTTATCATCCTGTCTTATTTTCAGAAAGATTTCGAATGATGTCCCAGCCAGGCTGGAAGAAGACAAGGAGAAGGCGACTGTCATCTCTGGTGATACTTCCTTTAGAATATGCCACCTTGAATTTTCTTCAAGGTAAGAGTCTGCTGCTTGCCTGATAGGTTTCTTTATCAGCTGCAAATGGTTCTTCTTTGAAAATCATGCATCCATCTTGCACCAAGCATTGCTCAACCAATATATTTCACTTACAAACCTGTAACTTAAATTTACATGTGAGGAACAATGCCTGCCGGTCACGTAGCCGGTCCTGTAGCTCAGTTGGTTAGAGCGTTGGACTCCGCGTGGTGAGAGCACGCGTTCCCGGTTATAACAGTCCGGGTTCGAAGCGCGACGGGCGCTCGACATTTATGGGCCTCCTGACAGGTATGGTTGCGGTTGGTGGCAGGCCGTAGCCAGGTGAAGTCAGCGAGGGGACCGGCCGTGCGCGGCAGGGCTTTGTGCGCACGTTAAACCTTGGACTCTAAATTCTGCCATAAATCGGAATTGCGCGATCGGAGGGTAGAGGGCAGGGTCATCGCAACAAGCTTCGCTTAGCGGTGGCTCTGTCCTTGTGAATCCTTCCCATCAAAAGGTTCGGACAAAATTTATAAAAAAAAATAAAAAAATGCCTTAATGATTTGCTAACCCCAAGTGGCCGCATAAGTGGTCTAGTTCTGACCCAGTCCCCACATTTCCCGACCTGCTACTCAGATTGGTAAGGTCCCTGAGGTCCGTATAGGCGTAGGTATAAATGGAGTATCGCACGACGTGCGGTCTTGGTGGTACATCGTAAACTCATACGGAGGGTCTGGGCACAGATTCAGCCGATGGCCAAATTTGGGCAGTAATATGATGTCCGGGATCTTTTTTTTCTTTTCTTTTTCTAGAAGTTACTTGAAATATCTGTCGGCTTTTCCGTCCGATTTATTCGCATCTGTGTATAACACCTTGACCTGGCCGTCACATCAGCTATGCTTGTGCATGTCTGCTGTGTACGGAAACATCGTTTTGTTATTGTCCGCACTCCGCACAGTTATTTTTAGATTTGACAGACTACAATAATAATGCATCTATCTGTACTCATTATTTCTTTCATAACGTATATTACTGTATTCAGGAGATGAGGATGACTCACTATCAAAAACGCCGGTGTCTTCGGGACTGCAGAGCCTCTGGGATAAGCTTTTCTCAGCTGATAGCTCCAAACAACAGTTGGCCTGCTTGAAAGAGGTGAGTCTAAGGTTTCGTCTTTGGCTGTCATATGTTTACTACCAATGAGACACTTTCACATTGCTTACTAGTTACTGTCACGATCTACAAATACTCAATGTCACGTCTAAAGCAGCTAGTTTCATGCGCTGTATACCTAGTTGAACACTTTTCCCATTTTCGTGCATCCAGATAAACAAGTATGTTCTCCAAGATGACACAGCTCTGAGCGAAGGCGAGCGAGACGCCCTTCAAAAGGCACTGGCATGGCTCCTGCTCAACCCCGACTCCTCGCAACAAGTGCGCAGTGTCATCATCAAGTAAGTCGCAACTCCTACAATGTTTGCGTTGAATGGGTGTAACATATTGAGGAGAAGGTCCGGACGTCCAGGGTGATGTGATCCAGATTCAGATTTGCAGACAAGTCGAACCGTTTTCCCCGAATCATCCATGTTTCAGACAGCCTCAGTATGTCTCCTGATCAATTCAGCCTCCAAGCAGCCGTATCTCAAGCCCGCTGTTGCGTCTGCTTCGTTGTTATATAACCCGCGCCCCGCTGGGCTATTCAGCCATACGCGCCCTGCTGGGGGTGGGGGGGGGGGACAGATTCTGCCCCCCCCCCCCCGTCTAACTTCCGAACCGATGGTCGTAGAAAGACCGGGAAAACGGCAATCGAAAGCTCTCAACAAGGCGGATCTTAAGAGCTCAATTTTTTTTTGCTTAAGTAGGTCAGAGGTCAGGTCAAGGTCAGGTCAAGGGTACAAAATGCAAGTTTCTACATTATCGGCCTTGCATCGTAGTTGCCGAAGAATGGACTGAGACTGATTGCCCAAAACGTGTTCTTAGGCTACCAGGACAATATTCGTTGCATACAATATCATTTAAAGGTCAAGGTCAGGTCAGGTCACCAAAAACAAAATATAGAAAAGGGCATGTGCGACACATGTTTAATGGGTCATTTTATTCATAGAATTCAATAGGCACACTCAATTAGTGATGTGGACCACATCTGGATGAATTTCAGGTCGAGGTCAGATCAAGGTCAGGTCAAGTGAGGTCAAATTTTGAAGTTGGTTGTTAAAGGGACCCTCCCACCTTAACATTAGATTTGAGTTGAGATAGCCAAAATGGGGTCCCTGGCTCACAATTACCGGTTTCGGCACTTACAACATCGAGAAATGCCTTAAATCGGAAATATTGAATTTCAAAATTGCAGCATTTTGATTCAGAGGGGCTAATGCATAGGCATACCCCTCTGAATGTGTGACGTCAGCGCAGATATCTAACGATTTTTAAATGTTTGACTAAAACGTTTTGTAGCACGCGGTGATATATGCTGCTTAGCGCGCAACAAATGCCGCACTTTCAAATAAAGTCGCTAGGAACAGCGGAGATCCCAAAAAGTAAACAAAAGTAAAAGTCTAATATCTTGAAAACCGGTGAATATTTTTCGATGAAATTTGGTAGATATTCGTTTTTGCTCTTTCTGAACCGAGCGACATCACTTTCATGCCAATTCGTTAACTTTTTTGAAGGTGGGAGGGTCCCTTTAAGGCCTAAAAAGGTGTCTATCTGATGTAGTTTTTCACGGCGAATCGAATGGTGATATTTTCGTTTCCGTACGAGGTGTAGAACTTCCAAAAAATCATTTTCAAAATTTTGTGTCGTGACGTCATAAGTTTTTTAATAACTCCCACATTTTTGAACCGATTCTTCTGAAAATTGGTATGTAGGTGCACATAGACCACTTCTCTGACATATATTCCGGTTTTCGATACACTCAAAATTTTGGATCTTATAATTATTTTCCTAAGAAGTCAGTTTTTTTAAAGAAAAAAATTGGGCCAAAATCCAATTTTTTTTTCAAAAAACCAAGATAGCCATTTCATAGACCAAGTAGAATCACGTATAACCTTTTTTGTAACGTCTTGATTCCTTTAAAAATGAAGATGTTAGCGGCGTTTGAAATTTTGCCGTTTTTGAGGCGAAAATGGCGAACATGACGTCACTAAAACGTCATTTTCTCAAAAAAATTCCGACGGATTTCGCTCAAATTTTCAGGGAACGTGTCAAATTGATGTATGATAAGGTACTGAAAGTTTGACGTCGCTGGCGTAACGCGTTTAGAAGTTATTGGCGAAAAACGGGAGGGGAGGGGGCAGATTCTGCCCTCCCCCCCCCCCAGCGGGGCGCGGGATATCTCTCCAGCGCTTGTATCCCCGGCTGAGTGGTGTTTGTGTGTGTCCTGTCAGGATCCAGGCGTCTCTGGGCGACCATTGTCCGCCTCTGGAGGCCGGGCTGCGCGCTCAGCTGGCGGCGCCGGCGCCCGCCACGCCGGCCACCCTGCAGCTGCTGGAGTTCCTCTCCGACCACCCGCTCGGCCGCCGCCTGCTGCTGGACAGCCTGCCGCAGCTGATGCTGTTCTTCAAGGAGGAGCTCGGCTTCCACTGCCAGACCATGTGGTGAGCTGGGGATGTGGACGTGCGGGCGGGTATGAGAGTGCATCGTGCTACTCAAGGAAGTTATTCGAATGAGGAGTCCAGGATGGCCTGGGAGCTCCTAAGGTCACTCGTAAGAAGGCGATTGTTAGTCTTGGTCGCATATCTCTTGTGATTCGAGCTGGCACAGTGAACGCCTTTATTGCCGTCATTACGCGTACAGAAGTGTCATCTGTCCCAAATCGCCTCCTGTAATGTCGTGTGTAGGTGTAGGACGCCCGTGCCAGCCCGCTGTCGTGCTATTTTTAACGTGTAAGGTACGAGGGACCCTGACTCCCCGTTGTGTTTCAGCGCCATGGTGTCTCCGGTGGAGCTGGCTGCGGCCGCCGGTCCCGGGCAGCGGGCCGTCCGACTGCTGATGGTCACCCTTCAGGTCAGTGTGGATTAACAGCAGACAGAGCATGTGACTAGACCTATGGTACCAGTATAACGCCTTTTGGGGCGACTAACGGAGCGAGCGAGAGGGTGGGCCTTGCACGTACGAAATTGCGAGGGGTACCTCCAACTGACTTGTGCACCGCACCCTACTAACCGGTCTCTAGCGATGTGCCAAATTTGGGCACAATCGGCCCAGCCGTTCTCGAGATCTGGAAGCGGCACCCTGCACGTGCGCACGTGCAAAATGGGTCCCAACTGACTTGTGCACGGCACCCTACTAACCGGTCCCTAACTGTGTACCAAATTTGAGCGCAATCGGTCGAGCCGTTCTCGAGATCTGGAAACGACCCCTGCACGTGCGCACGTGCAGCAGCACCCCAACTCTGGCACATGGATATGCAGTGCCTAGTGGGTGCCTACCTACATGCCAACTTTCAGCGCAATCGGCCAAGTAGTTACCGAGATATTGCAACAATTACAAAACTGACACCTCTTCGTTTTGCACGTGGCACGCGCATAAGGGGTCACCCACATGCATCGGGAATAGTCCAATACTTGGTAGAAGGAATGAAGCTACCCTACAAAATTTACCGCATGTAAATCGGTCAAGTGGTTGCTGAGATATAAGCCTCGCAAAAGCGTCCCCACGGCCGGCCGGCCGGCCGGCCGCTCATACTCAGAAATTTCCGTTAATCTAAGGAAAGACTACGCTCGCTTCGCTCGCTCCGTAATAAACCAATGACGATCCTAGTCACTCGTTCTCATGGTCTTCACATCCTTAGTTGTTGTGTCCTTCACGAGTCCAGCATCCCCTTCTCCGTCTCCTAACAGCTTCGATGTCCTTAGACCGTGTTTTCCACCCTCGGCGTTTATCGTTTCCGCACTGCAACCTCAATGCCCCGACTGTACTGCCACGTCCGCGCCCCCACCCTGTTCCTTACGGCTCTGACACCCTTTTCTCTCTGTACCAGCTAAGCCGCTGTTCCGTCCGTTTAGCCCCAGTAGGTATGTTCAGTCCCCACGGCAGCTCTCTACTCTGTTATCACCTTTGTTCTGTATCTCACAGGTTCTACAGCCACTGTCGCCCGAGTACGATCTGGAGACGGTGCGGGCGGCGCGCGACTCACTGGAGCGGCTCCTCACACTGCCGGCGCTGCCCTGGGACCTGCGAGGGAACTGCGGCATGGCCTACGTACTGCTCTGTCTGATCGGAGGCGACAGAGACCTACACGCCACGGTACGGAATGGAGAAGCGGCAAGGGTGGGGAGGGGACGTCATGGTGAATGTCTTCTATCTAGCAATATATTTGACTCGCTGACTCCGACTCATTGTTGTAGCTGGGGAAATGTTTAGGGTGACCTGCGGGGACGAAGGAACCGCGCTTCGTTCCTTTAAACATCGTGCGATAAAACTTGGACAGCGGTCTGTCCTTCCGTTCTTTTCTAGACAATTTGCTGTTGTACATGACTGCCCGAGGTACTAATCCGTCCTCCAATTACCGTCCGCGCTAATCTGTCCTCTCTAACCATATCAGACATTGACCGCTCTCCGCCCGTGCCCAGGTGTTGAACGCGGCGTTTCCGTCTGCGGAGCTGTGCGGCTCGGACGCTGGTCCGGTGCCGCTGGCCGACTGGCCGCTGGCTGCCCAGCTGGCCCTGCTGGCCGGCTGCGTGCACGCGCTGCCCTCTGACCAGCTGCTGCTGCCGGCTGGCGGCGGCGGGGCGCTGCTCAGCCTGCTGCTCGGCTGGCTCCTGCACACCGGCATGAGGTCTGTGTGTTGTGGCGGCCGGGAGTGCAGTAGGAATATCTGACAGGTTTACGAGAAATGATCAACCACAGTTTATCGACAGATGTGGCTTGGGATTTGAGTTTGATTTTAACTAGAACTTTCGGCGTATCCCGAACAGCTGTTTGTTTTTGTTACTGTAATAATTGAATTGTTTGACAAAAAAAAGAAGAAGAAAGAAGTATGATATAATTGTGATTGATTATGCTGTGACTGTGACCGTGTTATATGTCTCTGTGTCAGATGGAAGCCGTGCCTGTGTCAATATCCCCCGCCCCCGCCGTCTCTCCCCAGTGTCTCGGACACGGCCACCCTACTCGGTTTCTCCCGCGGCGTGCTCTCCGCCCTGGGCCGCATCACCGAGGCGTGTCGCGGCGCGCTGGCCTCCCCCGGCCCACCGGACCCCTCGGCACCCCTCCCGGGACCGTCCTCGGCCTCTGCCGAGCTCTCCTCAGCCGTGGGCGACTCTCCGTCCGGCACGGACGCGTCGCCCACCTTCCCGGACCTGACACCGGACGGTCCGGCCGACCCGCCGGACGGTCCGGCCGGCTCGCCCGCCTCGCTGGCCTCGCTGCTGCCCGAGGTGCTGGTCGAGGACCTGCTGCAGTTTGTGTGGCGACTGATGGCCGATGACGCCCAGTCGGTGCGGAGTGTGGCGGGAGATATGCTCTCTGCGCTGGTGGCGCTGTTTGCAGGTCAGTCGCTTATCCAACTATAAATAGCGGTCACTAGGGTGACCCGCGTGCTCCGCAACGCGAAAAGGGATATTTCCGATCGGCGGGTGTTCGGTTGTTCTTGTGTCGGTTGGGTTATCTATCCATTTCGGTCGATTGCTTTTTGACGGCTAAACGTTTTGGTTTGTGGAAAAAATATCCACCGCATCGAGGTGCCCGTGTCTGATAAGCATGCTTTCCACTTCAGAATCTGTCAAATGTGCTTTATAATTGAGGTGCGTAGTTTTAAGACAAATGGAAGGCGTAGATAATGTTCGCTAAAAATTGTTTTGCAGAGGTTTAAAACATTTATATTTTTAAGAATACTGTTGCTTGTCATGCAAACGTGATGGTTGGATCTTGGAGAGAATTGAATGCTCTTTCTAATGATAGCATTTTCAATTGTCAAACGTATCAGGTTAAGCAGCAAACCCCGTGTAATTATTTAGTGGCACATTATGGACAAATACCATTTTCTTCAGCGATCTGTTCCACCTTGTTTTCGATCAATTAGCTTTTTACAATTTTTCCATGAGAGACGGTACATTTCTCTTATCAGTAGGCGTTGTTTCAACTCTTTCAGTCTGACGGTCACGTGAAAAGAAAATAAAATCCAAAATCCGTTTAAAACGGCACATTTTGAAATGAAATTGCCCTCACACTTGCACGTGGCGCGTGTCACCCCCTGCACCGCACACTATTCGATTGCCCGTTCGATTCTCCACACGATGCTGTTTTCCCCGTGCCGATCGGGCGCACGGCTACCGAGATATTGCACGGGAACCGGACCCGTGTCGGGCAAATTTAGCCATTTTCGCCCGCTTTTGCCAGCCGATTAATACATGTAAAGTCTATGACGCGAATTTGCACTTTTTGGGCCCGCGCCACGCGCTCGCTATCGATCCGATCGAGCCGAGACCGCTCAAAGGCACGTTGTCCATCCTTGTTCTATAACTTGCGCAAATTTCAGCGCGGTAGGTGCAACGGTGTGATCTGTAACCCGCGCTACGTAGCACCATGTCGCGACCTCGGTTACAGACAGAAACTACGTCACCTCAAATAGTAATATAGATTATAGATGCTCAGCTGCATCCAGTCAGCGGTGAGGGGCTTTCCCGTTACCTGATGCGGACATTAGTTATCCTACCGCGCGTTGCTATTTATTTTTATCCATGAACGATAATTGTACTTAGAAGAGTTTAATGAATGTTTTCATTCATGATTTATTTTCTCCTTCTCGGAACTACAATGCTTAGAAGCTTATCAATGGGCTTATGTTTTGCTTAGAAAGCCAGCTTAGCTGACTCATTATTTTGCTATTATTTTGATTACATTTTTATTCTATTTTATTACTTTTTAGATACATATTGATTTTTTGCATTATAATTTTATTCTATTTTATTACTTTTTAGGTACATATTGATTTTTTGCATTTATATTTTTATTTTTATTACTTTTTATTTACATTGTATTTATTTTGATAACACTTTTTAGCTTTTCCCTCGCTGTTACTAATTTTTACATCAACCACGTCAGGGTTTCCTCATCATTCACGACTTTGTTGCGGCCTAGGGGCGCGTCAACAGCAGGTCATTATGCGCCCATCCGTGCTAGGAGGTGACCACCTACCATCATCTTCTTCAGCGCAGCTGGCCATTGTAAACTACTGATTGAAAGAATGCAAAAGTAAACCAGACGTTGAAAAACGGTCGAGACACTAAGAAAAGGGAATCTTTGTCGGCGGTGGGAGAACTTGTTTCCTTAACCTTACCACGCACCTAGTCTGGCGGCGGCACCACTGACCTGCACCGCCCTCCCTGTCTCCCAGGCTTCCCGGACGGTCCGTTTCTGCGTGAGCTGACCACCAGTGTGCTGGCACTACCGCTGCACCTGCGCCGCCGGTGCCGCGCGCTCCGCTGCCTGCTGCCGGCGCTGGGCGTCACCCGACTGCTGGCCGCCTGTCCGGCGCTGCCCAGACAGCTGGTGGGCGTCATCGGCGACCCGGCCGTCAGCACGCACGTGAGTGACGGGGGGGGGGGGGAGGAGGGAACGCCTTCAAAATTTGAGGCTCAGCCTCATAAGGCGCTGGTTATGGGCTGATGTCTTAGCGTTTCACTTTTGCTCACCTTTCGACGATTTGTGAAAATGGTGCTTATTTTGAGAGGCAGCCACAATATTAGCGTATTTTGAGCATGCGAAGTTGATTGCGGGCTGAATGAATGCAACAGAAATAATGAACCTTGCTCGTGAAATATTGTACTTCCTTCTTAGAAATAAGTCAAGCCGATGGTGCTGTGATTTCAACAGCCCTGTGTAGCGGTTCGAAACTTAATACAGTTATATTGAGCATCTTTGGTTGAGTCACCAATGTCAAGAAGATAAGACAGCACCATAACAACAGGCAGCAAATTCAGATGCATGCCTCGCCTTTTCTAATTTTACTGTTCTTACGCAAAGTAGCTTTCAGTAGTCGTAATGTTCAGCATGTAGATAATGGAATCGCCCTGCTCTAATTTATTTAACTAAAAAGATAAGCACATCCATCACCACGTTCTTTTTATGGCACACCAAAGCACTCGGCGTATTTTCTACTTGAATTGAATTTTGGTGGCCTTCGCCACCAGGATCTAAGTTACGGACTCAGGTTCCGCAGTCTGTCCTCCACAGCTGTCTGCGTGCATTTGTGACTCAACTAAAGTGGAGAATAAGAGTAGTTATTTGCAGCTAACGATTAAATAAGTAAAGGAACAGCAAGTGGAGTGGTCCGTGTAAGGATGACTGACGCGTTCTTTGGCTGCTTCTTATGCAGCTGTTGTACTTACATAGTAGGTCTGCAGTAGAGGTGGCAAAACTGGAAAATTTTGGGACCCGGACCCGGACCCGGTCTGACTGGCACATTTCTGGAACCGGTCAGACCCGGTCTAAGTCAGCGTTGGAACCAGATGGACCCGTTCCCGAAATTCATTATGAAAATTGTGTACAGTTGTAGGTATAGCAAAAGAAAATAGTTTCTTTCCAATTGGGCATACTTGTGTTGCAAAGTAAAAAACTCATGCCATGGTCATTTCACTTCGCTTCATAGTTTGTATTTTGGAACCAGATTCAGGTCATATTTAAGAATATAAGAAGTAAGTAGACCAATGAATTTCATGCTAACCTAAGCCACTTTTACTACAGCTCAGTAGGCGGAACTATGGTCATGAGTACCCAAATATAGGAACGTTCCCATTTTTGGGAACGGAGTTCCCAAATATGGGAACGGGCGTTCCCATTTATGAGAACGGAAGGCAATTTTTCGGCCGTTCGCCCACTAAAACTCAAAAGTGCATCACGTCTCAAAAAAGTGCACGCTGATTTAAGTATCTACTAAATCTCCATAAAGTTATCTTTAATCTGACCGTGGAACAAGGAAATTGACCGTGGAATGATATTTTTAATGATTTTTAAAAAATGACAGAATGGTGGAAATATGGGTTATATGACATTTAACATGCAATTTTAAGGAAAATGAAGCATTTTTTACATTTTGAGGTCAAGTATAATAATTTTCGCCTGGTAATGAAGTTTCATTCTAGCGACACCAGATGCTGACATATGCAAGCGAACACGCGGACAGTCCCGAGGTAATGTTGTTGACTTTTGGTGTCGGGGCGATCGACCGCGTGGAACGTCAGTGATTTTACCGAACTACTGTTGTAAACTCAGTTTCAGTGGTTTAAAATCATTCAGCTGTATTTTATCAGCCCTGAAAGACATATTTTATTTGGATGCTAGCTGTTTAGCGTTGTTTTATAAGCAGCGTCATGAGCGTGGTTTTTGTCTTCGGCGTTTCTAAGCATGATCGTTTGGGGGGAATTTCTCTGATATAGGTCGCTCTGTGTGGCTTATTTATAATTTTTATGCTGATTTCGATCATTCCTCGTGTCCATCCTACCAGGTCTTTTGCCACTTACACTCATTAAAGGAAATAGTTCACTTTCACGAAATTATTTTTTTTGCAATGGATTTATGATTTTTTATGTTCAAAATGATCAGCAAAGAAAATAAAACCTATTTATAACAAAAGATTATTTTCTATATTTTGATAATAAGAAGAACTTTTCAGTTTCTGTAAGGCACAGGCGATCCAGTATGAAAAGAGCATGGGTCCCAAAAATTCTTCAGAAACTAGAGAAATGATCGCGGCCACCGGCATTTGGGCGATCTGCTGCTGCTGAATGTCCTTATTGATCAGTACGAGAATTTCTCTAGAGTTCTCGTAGATAATTTCTCTAGTTTCTGAAGAATTCTCGGTACCCATGCTCTTTTCATACTGGATGCGAATATATGCAAGGCACACATCCTCAACGCAAGACACCTTTTTCGGGACGAGAAATAGAATATCTTTGCCTAGGGTGATCGTTGGGCTGTAAAAGCTCCTGATTTATGCTCGTCTCAGCCCAGGCTACGGAACTGCTATTCCAGTTCAAAACCCATGTTAAAAAGTGAACTATTTCCTTTAAGAAAGGAAAAAACTAGATTTTCATTGGGACTAGGTGTTTTGAGGGTGTAACATATTCAGCGTTCCCATTTTTGGATACTTCTTGTGCTCGTCAACTCTCGGTGATTAGCAGACAGGTGCTTGACATGTCTCCACCCTCGGCGCGGACGGTGGATATAGGTATGGAAGACCTTGTTGAACATCGCTGAGCGTTGTGGATTACGTAATCCTGCAGAGGGGGGCGTGCCCGCTGCGAGATCGACGGGAATAAAAGCGCAGAAGACCGGGCGAAACGTGCAACGGTCTTGCCGGAAAGGTCATCTGATGATTGTTGCGTTAACAATAATTTGCGGCGTTGGACGTGATGCTTGTTAATGAAAAGAGCCCCTGAAAGGCGTCGGTGAAATCGTTCCCAATTTTGGGTACGCCGTTCCCATAATAAGGAACGCTTGCAGCGCCAGTGTACGAGAGCGTTCCCAAATTTGGGCTCCCGGCCCGGGTGATGGACTGCTTTAGAAATAGGGGAACGATTTGAAACTACGATGGGCCTTACAATATCAAACTCTTTCCCAACAATATTGAGACAACTATCAGGCGGTTCACGATCGTTTTATATTTTTTGGACGTCATTTAACGGTTCTTTTTCTTGTTTTAAATAATGCCTACATGGCGTTCCCATATTTGGGTTTATCGTTCCCAAACATGGGAACGAAAATGCGTTCCCGAAAATGGGTACGCTTGACCATAGTTCCGCCTACTGAGCTGCTAAAAATGATGTGAACTGGGGATCCATGGACCAGTGCCTTCACCAGAGTCAGAACAAGAACCTAACATCAACATGGAACAAGATAACCATACTGATACATACCTTTTCTAATATCCTTGGTAAAAGATATTCGTTTTTAGAATTAAATTCATTAGTCCTTACAAATATTATCAACTATCAAAGGCCCCAAACGATAAAACATTCAAAATCAAAATAGAAACATGAAAACTGTGTGAGGTTCGCCAGAAATGTCGACACGACAGAACAGGCGTTAAATCACTGCAAAATTTTGTTGGGGTTAATGTACTGCAAAATCGTAATGGCAATAAACTTTAAGTACTGCAAGGTTGCGAATCTGCAGTCTACTCATGTTTTTGTTGTCACTTGTGTGTGAGTTGTATGACTACATTGATTATCTTTTTGTGTAGACACTTGCTCTTTTTCTTCACTGGTTGTACCTGGTGAGTGGTCTGTAAGCATTGAGGTGACGCCGGAGAAATTAAAGTAATGCTTTGTTTTCTTATTACGATGCATTTGTTGGGGCCTATGTTTCAATTTTTGACTAACTTTAGAGCATAGTTGCACGGAATATATAGTCTACGACATGGAATGGACAGGAGCTTCGATTAGCATTGCCACGTGTGTAACCAAAAATCAAGGATTTTGCCGGATGAATATCCGGAGATCCGGAGGATGCGGATGAATTTCTTTCCACGTGGGTTTACATTTTCATATATTTTCTTAACATTTCATACATTTTTTCTTAACAATCGTCGAATGATTCGCGTTCAAGGGCCAAGTTGTGACTGTGACTTTGAAATGGTAACCGTATATTTTATTGGAAACTTTTAGCACACATTGTTACGGGAGCACTTATACATATTCATTGCATTACAGTTTTAACATTGGTCTAACATTAAATGAAATTCGATGAAATTTGTCTAAAATTTGATGAAGATGAGGAAGTGCGAGCACTCGCGCTCTACTTTCAGAGTCCGGCCCTGGTCCCAGGGCGTATCGGTTCCTACAAAAACGGTACGTCCTTCCCCATCCTCGAACTCTGCGGAGGAAGATGGAAAAAATACAGATGCGACCTGGCTTTCATGACGCTATCTTGGCTCTCATAAAAGAGAAGTTCGCCGGAGCAAGTGCCAAGGACAAGCTGTGCATCATTTCGTTCGACGAAATGCAGCTGAAACCAAGGTTGGCCTACCAGCGGGGTGATGACGTCATCGAGGGCTTCACTGATCAATTGATCATGGCTCTCTCTACCACGCCAATGCCTGCGCCGACCACGCCTTGGTCATGATGGTGCGGGGCGTCAGTGTCACCAAACGCTGGAAACAGCCCATCGGTTTCTTTCTGAGTTCCGGAACGACCAAGGCCGTTGTGCAGCAGCAGCTGTTAACACAGTGTGTCCAACGTGTAACAACAGCGGGATTCACTGTGCTAGCTACAACTTGTGACATGTCAAAGAACAACCAGGCGATCTACAGACTGCTCGGAGCTGCGGAAACCGGCTTGTTCACCGTGGACGGGCACGAGGTTGCTGCTCTGTATGACGTGCCTCACATCTTCAAATGCATACGAAATGCATTAATGAAATACGATATTGAAGTAGACGGTGAAGAAGCCTCTTGGAGTCATTTAGAAACACTCTACGCACTGGAACGCGCTTCTTCCCCACGGGCTGCTCCAAAACTAAGCCAGAAACACATCAGGCCAAACAGCTTTGAAAAATGAAAGTCAGCTATGTCCTACAGGTGATGAGCCGGACAGTAGCAGCAGCAATCACATTGCATGCGACTCACGGCAAGCTCCCGCGCACTGCACTCCCGACTGCTACTCTCCTGCTGCGCCTCAACGACCTGCTCGATGTGCTAAACTCTTCCGCCCGGTTCGACCCCTGCTCAAAGCGACGCGCGATATCCAGCCTCCATCCAGCAACGGCGGGAGATCACATGCAGTTTCTTCAGGAGAGCGACGCCTGGCTGCAGCGGTGGACGGTCGGTGGCGGCGCCAGCATCGACTCCATTCGAGGACTGCGACAAACGATATAAAAGGCGTGGTGAAAATCTGGGACAGTTGTGTCAGGCTGCTGGGTGCACGTTCCTGTGCACTCGCCGCTTAAACAAAGATCCAAGCTACTGAAAATGAAAGAGTTTATCTCGGCAAAAATACATATTAGGCACATACACGGTGCCTGTGTACCTACTTATAATGAAGAGACATTATGACAACGTTTGAAACGTTTAACACAACCCCTCCTCTAAATGCATTTATGAAACGTGAGTGGGCCAATAAAGGCAACTAGTTTTAACTGTAACAAAAAAGCACTTCTGGGCACGTAAATGGGGTAAATGTGGTAAAATGTGGTAAAATTCACCACCCCATATCGCCTCTACCGGAAACCCGTTTTAACCCCCGAAGGACATTGGCAATAGAGCAGGATCGTTCATGTTTATCAAAACAGCCGGCAACTTTCTATCGCAGCGAAAGGTTGGCTAGGACGAGAGTCATTGCTTTCACTGACTATGACAAACCTACTCGATCGGATTTTCACCTAGGAAGTTACCAAACGAATGTTGAAAAATACATCAGCACCATGAAAAAACCCTTACCCACCATGCTCAGCAACGCCGCCTCCCGCCGGCGTCCACCGGAAAAGGGCGGCAAACGAGCGAAGTTTAAATTGTCAGAAGTGATTCCAGACAGCAATACCTGATTAGAATAAAATGCACCTTCTCATATTGCCCCGGTACCCCGGTACCCCACCTTCCCCTATTAGTTATAGGTCTGGCAACTATACTTTCATCCTCGTAAAGGAAGTAACCACAGCGAATCCGCACGACTAAATCATCAGGTCGCCAAAAACTCGGCAGTTACAGGAAATCTCGATCTTGTCCATTCCATGTCGTAGACTATATATTCCGTGATAGTTGTATGCTTTACCACTCGCACGATACGGTTGTTGAGTTTTTGTGTTCCATGTTGTCTCCAGCGTTTTTGTTGTACCGTTTCTGCCCACCACTGCCGCCCTGTGAGAGGCGCTCAGTCTCTGACCGGCGCCCCCCTCCCCGCGTCTCGCAGGCGGTGGAGCTGTACTGCGTGCTGCTCTCGGAGCACCGGCGCGCCGCCGACCCCGACACCTGGCTCTCGGTGTGGGTGGAGCCGCTGTTCGAGTCGGACGCCGTGCCGCCGCCGGCGCTGGCCCAGATCACCGGACGGATCGCCCAGCTGGCGCCCGGCTCGGCGGCCTACGTGACCCAGCGGGTGGCCTGCCGGCGCCGGCTGCCGCGCCACCTGTGGCTGGTACTGCTCACCGCTGTGCAGGCCGCGCACAGACAGGGAGCGGCGGGCGAGAACTGGAGGGACGCGCTGCCGGTCGCCCGGCTCCGAGAGGCGCTCCAGCACAGAGATGATCAGGTGGGTATTGGGGAATGGGAACGGGGTGGATGCATAGGTGATTAATGGAGTGAAATAGGACGAGAGCGTATAGTCAGGGCTGCGGAGTCGATGGATTTTCAGTGACTCCGACTCCGACCTCCAAAAACCAACTCCGACTCCGGGAAGAACTATCGACTCCGACCGGCTCCAACTCCGACTCCGACTCCGTAGCCTTGCCATGTCTGTGGAGTCGATGGATTTTTCGGTGACTTCGACTCCGACTCCGGTTCCGGTTTCCAAAATCGACTCCGACTCCGTTCAGAATGGTCGACTCCGACCGACTCCGACTCCGACTCTGCAGTCCTGTGTATAGTAATTGGAAAGGGGTAAAAGTTTGATTGGAATAGCCTTTAGACTGTGCTTAATTGGTATTTCCACTTGTGAGTATAGTTAGTCGCGTATTACCGCGGTGCGCAGCCGGCTGAGGTCGACAGTGCAATCACCTGTGAGCCAAGGGAGTTCTAGAAACACCTACTCCTTGAACGCTGCTGGTGTGTGCGACCAGCCTTTGCTGCTGTGTAACCTGTCTCGTGTCCCGTGCTACCGTTTGACCAATGCTCTGACCTCCACGCTGCTCTTCAGGTGCGGATCGCAGCCCTCACCGTACTCGCCGACAGCAAGAAGACCTCCGAGCTGTTCGAGCCCGTTGAGCTGCGGCTCATCGTGCGCTTCGTGGCCGCTAATCTGGCCAATCAGACGCCGGCGTTTCGCCAGCAGCTGCTAGCGCTCATGAAAAAGGTCTGCGGGCTCAGCCGCTGTGAGGGCGTCTCTGGGAATGGAGCTTAGCGGTGCTATTGGCTACACAATATTCAAGGAATAGGAATATGTGTTTGAATGAGCCAGGCAGAGTCGGCATGAGGATGCTTCCCACCTGCTCTCAGACAGTATGTTAGCCGTAAAATGGGGCTTGTGAACTGCCGATGGTGCTATTATCGGCGAGAAAGAGGCTCCGGAAGAGCTAGAGGCATTCTCTGAATAACTCATGCTCGGGATCACAAGTGTCATGTTGGGGTCTTTAAGTCGCTACTTTTAACATGAGATTAGCCTTTGGAGAGTTCTAGCGCCATTTCTTTGGTCTGGGCTGCCACCCACTCTTTCCTTAGTGGAAAAACTCTTGCGCGTAACTTATAAGTTTTTGTTGTTATAATTATATTTATAATTGTTTTGTTTATTTAGGTTTTGTACCGAGGTTTGAGGATTTAAGTAGAGCTTATCCCACCTTGTGATTGCTCAATATGACTGCGTGGCTGGTATGTATGCATTTATACGTCTTTAAATATATACAGTAGATAATAAAGTACGGGGAATATTTGTTTCTGGTCCCTAAAAAGCTGTTTCTGGCACCTAATTGCTGATCAGCCCCAAAATGCTTATTCGACCCTAATATCTGAATCTGGCACCTAATTGCTTCCACACAGCCTAAAGTTGCCAGATCGTCTAGTTGAACTCCGTATTTGCTGTTTGCTGATTCAGCACCAAAACCAAAACATCCAGCACCTATTTTTTCCACGTTTGCCTACCTAATTCGCGTAATCTTCCTGATTTTATGTATCCTAACGACATGAACGTTGCATTCGGTGATGTCAAGTGCCATTTTCGCCAGTGGAGATAATGATTAATGCCATTTCTAGCCAAAAGAGAATCACTAGCCAGCTATGGTGCAGCATAGCAAGACGCTCCTATACCAGCCCGCTATTTAGAGACTAGAGATTATTGCACCCTCAGCCATTTTAACGTGAAAAGTTTGGATCCGTCACTTCCAGCCAGGCTCTCAGGTCATATACTGGAGTAAAGCAAAATGTCAACTCTGAACAGACATGCCACGCAACCGGCCCTCTTTTCAATATTATTAGCTTTCTGCAATCATCGTCTGACTCCATCTCGATCAAACGCAGCATCCGGTTTCTACAGGGGCGTTTGACTGACCGGCCACACAATAACCAAAAACAAAATCAAAGCTTCATGCACACATATGACATAAGTAAGAAACGGATGAAAAAGGCAAGAAAAGGCACAACCACGGCACAACTCTGCGCGGCAAACAACGGACAATGTCCCACGCATGATCCCGCGTTTCTTCAGCGGCCTTGAACGGAATGAAAACACTACATTTCTTTTTTGGAGGTATTTGATGACGTCAAAAAATACAATACCCGTTTTAATGGTCAAAATCGAGACAATTACTCACAAAAATGTTTCCGTTTAAGCATTACAAATAAATACTTTTAAATATTTAAATGACATTGTTTTTTCAAACAAATCAATATTATTTGCTTACTTAAACGTCATATACAATGCTGAGATCACTACGGGGCTGTCTTAGAGTGTAGCTGCACTGGCAACCTTTAGGCTAGACTCCAGGGGTCATTATACCAGAACGGCATGATTCTACCAGCCAGTAGTTCATTTTTCTACTAGATTGGTGCTACGCTCAGCATTTAGGTGCCAGATTCAGAAAAAAGAGTAAGGCGTACCGATGAATAGGTGCCAGAAACAGCTAATTAAGGTCATTTTCCATGATTGGTGCTGGTATCCACCAAATAGGTGCTGAGGACCAATTTTGGGGCGTGTCAGCTTTTAGGTGCCAGAAATAGCTTTTCTGGGACGCAATTAAATGGCGTCCATAAAGTACAGCTTACCCCAGCCTGTGGCCGCTGTGCTCGGCAGGGCCCGCGCTCGTTGTGGAGTATTCTCCAGCCGACGTGTTCTGACTCTCTTCCTGTGTCGCCGGCAGATTCTGGTGCGTCTCTCTGACGGCACGGCGGCACTGCTGAGGCAGGTTGGCGGCGCCGAACGGCGAGCCTCCATCGGGGCCGCCTCGCCCGCCCCCGCCCCCGCCCCCGCCCCCGCCCCCGCCGCCGAGCCTTCAGAGGGCCCCACCGCGCCCCCCGCCACCGCCGCGTCGCCCTCTTCACCGACTGCCGGCGGGCCGGCGGCGGCTCCCACTGAACTACCGGCCCTGGAGCGGCTGCAGCACTACCAGTCGTGCCTGCGGCGGCTCTTCAAACTGCCCTTCACCGGCCTGTTCCCCGGAGCCAACTTTCCGCGGCGCACGACCTGTCTGCATCTACTGACCCTGGTGGATGAGCTGTTCGGCGGACATGACAGGTCAGAATACTTCCTCTCGTGGTCTCTCCAGTTTCTTTCGCCGCGCTCCGATAACGATCACCGATCATGGCAGTCTGGTCCGGAAACACAAGATGCCTCTTTTATGTGGATAGAAATTTACCTAGAAGGCAAGATGTGGTCGGCTAAACAGTCTGTTTCCCATTTATGTCGACATCTTAGGAATCATTCTGTCGCCTACTCATTGACATTTACATATTGCCGAACGAACATTCAGTAAAAAGCTTAGCGAATCTTGGTATCTTGTTAATGATGTCTCACGGCGAGTGAAAACTTCGTATGTCACCTGTGCTGATTCCGGTCGGCTGATTCGCTCCTTGACCCGCCGCTGCTGTCCCACTCTGAACAGACCGGTGATGACCACCGCCGGCTGGTGGGGTCCCGACCAGATGTTCGCCCTCCTCTACTGCCTCACCGACTGCTACGAGAACAACAAGGAGCTGGCGCTGCAGCTGCTCTGCTCTCACGACCTCACCGTGCTGAACCTTCAGGTGAGTGACGGGCGCATGAGCCACGCTCGTCCGCTATTGCGGGCTGCTAGACGTAATCGGGAGGTGTTTCAACTTGACCGTCTTTCTTTCATGGAAGGCGTTTCTCGAATGTATGCTTGTGTTGATGTATAATAACGGACTTTGAATTGTCTACGGGTACGGTCTCAGTGAAATAAACAATCCGCTGTCAAGCTTTAGCCTTGGCTAATTTTGTATGCAATATGCATGAATACGGGACCGTAGGACGTTTTATGTACGCAAAAAGATAAGAAATAGCAATTGGCGCGCCCTGAGACTTCAATAATAAGCGAATGAAGGTGCTAATCGATCGGTAGGCATCGTCACCAACCAACCCAACCACGCTGTTTTGTTTACCCTCTGACCGCCTATGTTCCGCAGCCAGAGGACCTGGACGGCCTGCTCAGCTCGGCCCTCTCTCTGGCCAGTAGTGCTCGGCCACCAGACTCCCAGACCGCCGCCTACCTGCTGAGGGCGTTCGTACGTCTGCCGGGGGCAGCCGACGCCCTGAGGCGGAAACTGGCCGAGCAGCAGAGGGAGTCGCCGCGGAGGTGAGGGAGAGAGGGTGAAAGGGAGAGAGGGAAGGAGCTGTGGATACTGCTTGACCGCTGACCGGCGCTCGTTCACTAAGTCAAAGTGTCAATATTAATGGAAGTGATATGTTCGACAACCATTTAACCGCAGCACGTTTCTTCCATCCATAGACATGTGTGCGATATTTTATGAAAATAACCGTAACCAAGACATCCAATGCTTTTGTCGCGATGTTCATTTGAAACGATCTCATCACAGGCAAGTGAATATGCCTAAATGTAATAATTATTTTTCATGCCGGCAGAGACTCACAAAGTGATGCCATCATCTGCCCGGAGCGATCAAATTCGATCAGCTCGACTGATGAGAAGGAAGTCACCAACCCTGCTAACACCACTCCGGCGAGCACCGATGTTGGCGAAACTCCAGCTTCGAACAGCGAGACGGTGGCGCCTGCCGAGACTGAAGCGCCTATCGAGCCTGTAGCGTCTGACGCAGATGTTCGGTCAGACAGCGAACCACGAGACACACCCAGCTCTGGAGAAGCGGGCGCTGACGAGCCGGCCCGGCTGCTGCTGCGGCTGCTGCTGAGCCGACTGGAGTCGGAGCTGGCGCTGGCAGAGTCAGCGCTGACTGCGGCGGCAGCCACGGCGCCCATGCATGGCCTGCTGCTGTGTGTCAGACTGCTGTTGACGGCGGAACAGGGGGCCGGCGCCAACGGAACGTGAGTCGGAACGGCGAACAGTGAGCGAGCCAAGCCGCACAGGACGCTTAGCCGACTAGCTATTATTAAAAAAGGAAACTGCTTGTCTTTGTTGAATGAAGCGTGATATCCCAGTGGCGCTGTGGTTTCTCCCGGCGTTTGCTGGTTCGTTTTACACAAAGTCAAAATTTTACCCAAAGTATTACCTGAATCTGTGCCCATCGTACGATGCTCGCTCGTTTCACACACAGCCCTTATGTTCCTCTGTATGACCTGGCTTTATCGCTGTCTGTCGCTGTCTGTCGCCAGGTCTGTACCGAGCTGGCGCGGTCTTGGCGGCCGGCTGGTGTCGCTCTGCCGGCGCGCCTCGGCCGTCGTCCTTCCCGTCGTCAGCAGCTCCTCCCCCGAGGGACACCTGCCCATGGACCTGCAGTCGGAGGTCGTACTGAAGGTGGACGCGGCACTGAGTCGCGCGCTGGCCCCCGCACCAGTGCCCGCCGAGCCGGGCAAGACGCGTGCCGTTACCTCGCAGATGTTACTCGTCTGCTGCTGGCGAACAATGAAGGAGGTGAGTGGGGCGTGTCTGCCGCCGCTTCCTCGGCGACTTCGACGTTGCGGGTGACTTTGGAGTGTGGAGGCTCTTTAACTTATGCCCTCGGCAACGACTATTGTCTATAACATAGTAACTTGTACCTTGTACCTTGTAGAATACGAGCTGCTTGAGGTGCTCTACACCTGTTTTGCTCGCTCTTTGCTTGAAGTTCTAAATCTTCTAAGTAGTTTGACTTTGACCGTGATTTTTTATCATGTAGGAAGACGTATCATTGTTATAATTGGCTCTTGACTTCTAAGGATGCCTGTACTTTTCTCTTGCCCATAGCTTGTCTAACAATCGTTAACTTAGCTTGGGCCGATGCTTTAGTTTAATGAGAATGTAACACCCGAAGGGTATTTGGCCAAATGTATGTCGATCGAAACGTACATTTGGCTGTCGATCTAAACAGCTTAGTTTGTGCACGGCCTGTAGCCTGTGGCTGGTCAGTGCTTCTCTATGCCGTAATGTTGGATTGGCCACTACCCTGTCGTGACCGGTTATCTCCGTTCCCTGCCCTGACGTGTTATCTCCGTCTTCCTACCTACAGCTGTGTCTACTTCTGGGCGACGTTGGCCAGCGTATGCCGGTCTCCGCGCCGGGCACCGGCCCCCCAACGGCCGGCGGTCAGCTGACACCCCAGCAGCTGCTGGCCATTGGTCGGCACTTTATGTCGCTGCTAGCTGAGACCAAACACCGCGGGGCCTTCGAGCAGGCGCACGTCGGCTTCAGTCGGGTGTGTGCCACTCTCTGGAGGTGAGGCTTGGGGGACAATGGGAATGGGATTACGGCTCTATAGGGTGCTGGGTATGTTAGGGTAAAATACGGTTCTTTTCGATATTTCACAACGTTGTGCAAATTTTGAATTCATATATGTGCCCTGTTATCATGTGTCCTATTTTTTTTTCTGCAGCTGACTTGTCTATTTCTGCGTTATGTTCCTCGCCATTGACCGTCGTTCTCCGTCAGGTCGCCGCTGCCGGAACTGAATCAAATGCCTGCCCGCTGGCTGGACGAGGTCATTGCTGACATCCGAGGGGAGGGGCGACAGACGCTCTGCTCCACGCGGCGCAGCGCCGGACTACCCTTCCTCATGCAGGTGTGGACTCGTCCAACGGGAGGGAGGTCTCGACTCCCGTTCATCATGAGTGCATTGTTTTGTCGAATCATCTCCACTTCAATTAAACAGTAAAATGTAAAAAGGAATGTGTAATGTGTATGGATCGTCTTAAAAGTCAATGCTTTTCCAACGCCGGATGCGCTGACGATAGTCCCAGTGGAAGAGCTCACTTGGTTATCCCCCCCCCCCAACACTCTAGCTCTCCAGCTGCGGATATATGACTTACTCTCCTTTGCAGGCGCTGCTGACCTCAGAGCCATCTGTGATCGGCTCGGCATACTTCAGCCGCGCCATGGTGTCTCTGCTGTCGGCGGCTGAGGCCGGCGGGAAGACGGCGGTACACGCCATGAACGTGCTGCGCGCTCTGTTCCGAGACGCCCGTCTCGGTGACAGCGTGGGCGTGCACGTGACGGCCGGAATCAAGGCGGCCATCACCGGCTTTAAAGCTCCCACGTCGTCGGTAAGTTGGGGAGGGGGGGGTAAGAGGGGACGAAGGGGACAGGTCGGGCTGGTGTTACAGAGAAGGAGGCGGAACTGATCATCTAAGTTACTGGAGAGGCATGGAATGGGTCGTTTCGGTGTCTATTTTTAGAGGAACGATAGGGGTCGCACTCGCACGGGTGAATTGCTGATGGAGGCAGGGTGGATGATGCGTAACAAAGGAGCTTTCCTTTATGGAGGGGGGGGGGGCTAAGTGGGTCCGTTGACAGCAAAGAAGGTGGCGAATTCGTTTCTTCATTGTTGCTGACATTACCCTCTTCTCCCTACAGGAGCGGAACTCTGCCTCCCTGCTGTTCTCGGCGCTGGTGACGCGCGTGTTCGGCGTACAGCGCAGTCGCGACACGCTGGCCAAGAAGAACTGTATGACGGGCCGGCTGTTCTTCCTGCGCCACCCGGAGCTGTACACCTTCCTGCTGGAGGAGATGGCGCGGGCGCGCGAGCCGTTCCCCGTGCTGCTGCTGCTGGCCCGGCTGTACCCGTCACCGGTGGAAGGCGCCGACTCACAGTACCCGGTGAGTGGATGATGTTACGACTTAAAATCACAATTGAGTTATGATCAATACAGGCTCATTGGGACAGACGGTGGGTCGTTTTGTGTGCCTTGTTGCTACCATATCGAGTACCGAAGTACCGAGTATGTAGTGCCGACCGAATACCGACCGTGATTCGTATGGCTGTGACTTGACCGCCGGCCGCCTTTCCTTCCCGCAGCTGCGCGCGTTCCTGCCCTCCCTGGAGCGGGCGGCTGCCTCACCGGTACTGCAGGCGCGAAAACTGGCGGCACGTGCCATCTGCTCGCTGGTGCCCTACTCGGGATACCCGGAGGCCACGCTGGCTCTCCTGGACAGTATTGAACGAGACGGCACACAGCGGCAGAACCAGCTGCATGGGAGGCTGCTGCAGGTTCGTACCGGGGAGCAGGGGCAGGGGTAGTTGGGCTGAGATCAAGTACAGACTGTGGCCTGTCATACTGACAGACTGTGTGACAGGTCACAGTGCAGACTGTGGCCTGTCATAAAACGCACAGTCATGCTGCTGCATTGTGACATTTCTGTTGATAACAATTGCTGAGGTTTCGACTGGCTTACCTGTGACCATTTGGATTTGTACACCGTGCTCTATTTTTATTGTGCTCCTGGTTGTGGTAAGTTTGCTGTCGTAGGATGACACGATCTGTGACTGGGTGCGGTGGTATAACCGAGTGTTCTTTCTCACAGGTCCAACACATGCTGCGCCACTGCGTCCTGGAAACATCCATGTACACGGCACCGGACCTGCTGCGCTGGCGGCCGGTGGCCGACCGCGCGCTCCTGCTGGCCAGTCTGTTCGGACCCCAGAACCCGTGCGCCGTCACTGCCGCGGCCGCTGCTGACGCACTGGCCGCCGCCGTCAGACTAGGAACTCTACTCTCAGCTCCGCCGCCACCGCCGGCAGTGGTTGCCGCTGCCAGCGAGCTACTAACGCGTCCATCAGCGGGGCTGTATGGCACGGAGACCGCCCGCGTGGCGGCCGTGGGTCTCCTCTGGACGCTGGGTGCCGAACGGGGTGTAGACGTAGCCCGGCTGGACGGATACGACGCTCTACAACGTCACCTACAGCTACTGAAGGAGAAACTGGTCCTGGAGGCAGGTGGAGGCGAGCCGACCACCCCGCCTAGCAGGCTGAGCCCAGTGACTCGGCCGGCGCCCGTACCGGACCTAGGCGTGCAGCCGGAGCGGCCCCCACAGCCGGAGGAGACTGCTGGATCGAGCGGAGCCGGGGAGGACGAGTGGCTAGAGGAGACGGCGGCAGCGCTCCTCCGGCGGCTGGCGGACACATCGCGTCCCCTTCCGGCTCCCTGTCTGCAGACAGTGCTGGGAGTGCTGACGAGGATGAACGGAGCCGCCGCAGTCTGGGATAGCACAGTTCTACAGGTGGTACGACGACTGGCTGTAGTCACTGCCGCGACAGACGCCGAGCAGAAGCCGAAGAAGGATGATCCGGATGCAAAAATTGAGAAGGAAGTTGTGTTGGAGAAGGATAGAGTTACGGTAACAGTGGAGAAGACGGTAACTGAGGCTGTGACGGCTGAGCTTAACAACACTCAGGTGACTACGAACGCTCAGGGAACCGTATCAAACGAATCATCAGCAGCGAAGGACACAGATCTGGGTCCGCCCACTCCCGAGGTCTCCGCACTATGCCGCGCGGCTGCGTCTCACGAGCACGTGCGGGCCGACCTGGTGCGTCTGGCGGCCGGTGTGTTGGACCGCCTCAGTCCGCAGATACTGGACGAGAGTGTGGTGCCGGCTGGTTCGGCGGTGCTGGACGACTGGTGCCGACTGGTGCAGCGCTGCTGCTCCGTGGATGGCACCGTGACGCTGCGACAGGCCGCCTGCCACGCCACCGCCTCGGCGCTGCTCTGGCCCACCAGGCAACTGTCGGGTGAGTGTGCTAACCGGTGCAGCCATCGGAGTTATCCGCTTCATGATATTCTTGATTATTAATTGATCGATATTATGCTTCTGTCCCATAACGCTGTGTGATTTCTGTACCTCTGTATAATTCTAATGACTGTTTGATGTCTGATAACGCTGTGTGCTGTCTGCGTCTCTGTTACAGTGGGTCATGGAATGACGCTGTGGCGCTCTCTGACGGCTGATGTCTCTGCCTCTGTCTGATGACTTGTCTCGGTTACAGTGGGCCAGGAGATGACCCTCTGGCGCTGTCTGATGACGCTTCTCGCTGATGACGAGGCCGACGTGCGGGACGCCGCTGCCGAGGTGGTAGACGCTCTGGATACAGACGAGGAGTGGCACGTCGCTCACGACCAGGATAGCTGGGAGGAGGAGATCGACAGCGTCCTGCACCGCGCGGTGGCCGTATTCTGCGCGAGGATGGCGCCACGGGACCTGAAGCTCACCGTGCTCACCCTGCTACACTGGATCTTCACGGACGACGATGGTGGACAGCTGGGTCGGGCGCAGGTCAGTCGTTGGCGAAGCATTAGAATATAACTGTTCAATGGGATCACAGCTCGTGTAACGGTTTAATGTGACGGTTTGAGGTGGGATTGTACGGCTAGGTTCGATGGTTTTGTTTATGTGCCTGTGTTTTCTGCTTTTTTTGTCAACAATTTTCGGTAGCTGCGCCCCGGCGGGGCTGTTTTGTTCTCCAGTTCAGCTGCTGTGGGATTGCGCGCTCAAGCTCAGTCTGACCTTCCGCTAACCTTCTCCTCCCCGTCACCTGTCCTACAGGAGGACGAAGAGCGCGTGTTCGACAAGGGCGAGATGAACATTTTCTCCGAGGACGTTCTACTGGCGCGCGCGGCCACCGGCGCGCTGCTCTCGCTGGTTCCGGAGCTGCCCGAGCAGCCGCTGCTGCTGTCTGTGCGGCAGCTGGAGCCGCTGCCGCTGGTCAGACAGCTGCCGGCAGACTACCAGCTGGAGCTGTCTGACCTGCTGCGCCAGGCGGCGCGCCAGGCGGAGTCGGCGCTGCGCCGTCTGTCGCCCGGGCCGCAGGGCGTCGCCCAGCGCGGCCGTGCGCTGCTCTGTCTGCGAGCGTTCCGCCGACTCCGGCTTACCGCCGGTCTGCGAGAGTTCTACATGGAGCCCGAGGTGGACGAACTGTGGCAGAAGAGTGTGGTGCTCGCCCAGAGCGAGCTCTGCTTCCGTCCGCTGTGGAGGGAGGTGCTCGACTCCTGATGGACCCAGAGCACCGGCCGGCGAGCAGCTCACACGGTACCGTCCTGCGGGGTGGGTGGCTGTCTGCCGCAGTGAGCCGCGTGCAGATGCTACTGGCGTAGTTTCAACACCGGCTAGCCGCTTTTGTCACATCTCGTCTGATTATAGCCAGAGTGAGAAGATCTTATGCCGCGGAGTGCGCTGGACTGATAGGATAGTGCAGGGCGTGTGGCCTTTGCTGTGGAGGATGCCAGGCTGTAGTTGCCCGATTTGCAATGTCATGGTGGCTTTACACGGTGGGTTTGCGCACTCTGCTATATGCTTGCCAGCTACAAGTGAGAAACTAGGTCCACGTCTTTCGAATTCATCTGTTATTTGTTAAATAGTAACATCCGACGTTACCCTGGGAGTAAACATGATATTTTATTTTTTTAGAACAAAACCAACTGCGCAGCTTCTGCCTTGTTAACCCGCGCCGTGCTGGTGGCCTGAACTTTCCGCCGAGTGCTGGGGGGGGGGGCGTTTTCACGCCCCCCCCCCCCGTCTAACTCGGCTCCTGGGCCACGTAGCGACACGCGAAAAGCGGCAATCGAAAGAGCGTCAAAAATAAGGACGAAAACACTTCGGTCATTTTTTGGGTCAGGTCAAAGGTCAGGTCACCAGAGGTCACCAAAGGTAAAATGTTGACTATTTCAACACTTTGGAAACTGCCAACGGCTATCTCGGGAACCGATAGAGCTACAGCGCCGCGGAAAAGCGCATTCGATAGCCCTTTTACAGACCTTTCTGAGTAATGTTCTCAGATTTGACCTCAGGTCAACGGTTTAGCCTCCAGAGGGCAAAAACTCCAAAAATAGCCGTTTTTACGAAAAACGTTTTTTCGTCAATAACTTTTGACTCATAAGCGCCATGACATTACTTTTGCCAGCATCGTGTTCCTTTCGTCGAGACGCGTCGAATGAACTATTCGTTGACCTTGAAAGGTCATTTTGAAAATTTGACCTCAGGTCAAGGTCATGACCTGACCGAAAAGGGTCATGTTGCATATCAGTCGATCCGTATCGTCGAGCTGAACACATCTGACGTGTTTTCACCGCTCTAGCACGTCTCTATCAAAAGTTATAGCCAAAAAACTGCTGGCGACCGTTCATGACCTGAGATGACCTCAGGGGCACACAGAGGGGTCACAGGTGCATTTTTCCTATTCAGTGTGTCATGTTTACCTATGAACCGATGTTTGAGAGCGTTTTGAACGACATTCGTCCAAAAGAGGCGCATTTCAATTTTCTCCCATTGACTTATAATGGAGAGGTCGCAAAATTGACCTGACCTTAGGTCACAGATATCAAAAATCCGAGATATACATTTTATACATACTGTTACTCATATCAATCGCTGAAAGTTTCAAAGTGATCGTTCAGTCGGTGTAGCTATAGCGAGCCTTTGAACTTTTTCTGAGGTAAGGTCACTTGACGTGACCTGGTGACCTGACCTTGAACGGCCTAGGTCTGAAATTTTCACAACATGTGCGGAAATGATGTAGGAACACGTGTACCAAAAACGGCGGCGCTGCGCGCCGCCGTTTTTGAGATATTCGCGAAAAACCTGAGGGGGGGCGTAAAAACGCCCCCCCCCCCCAGCACGGCGCGGGTTAAGTGTAAGGCGATAGACAAATGCCCTGGATTGATTGCCTACCTTCCCAGAAACCAAACGCGCGTCTGCGAATGATTTGCTAGTCTATCGTAGCTACCCTTCTCAGTGGGACGCAGTCACGCGGTTCCGAGTTTCGGGACATGACTTTCTCAGTAGATATAACACGGTCCGTACTTGGAGTGACGAGCAATATATCCCGTACTTAATACGGATAACCACCGTACCGTAGCGCGCAAGACGGCAAAGCCAGTTTTTGGGTGCTTTCTTGCTACTGTGAGCTGTGCCATGCCCAAGTTTCCTAGCTGTGTATCGGATATTTATATAAAAAAGACATTGCCATTTGACTTTTTCGATGTGGATTTAGCTACTGAGGGCTGGTATTGGGCCGACTGGAGGGAAGGAATACTTTAATGCAGTTACCTTCTTGTGGTATCAATCATATGATGTGGATTTCATTTCTGGAGCTGTTTTCATTGTTGCATTGCCATTGTTGAACCCATAAGGGGCCAGACAGACGTGCTAAGTTACCTGACACACTTCTCAGGATTCAGGTTGAAATGTCTTATTCTTTGTCCTTTCGGTTCAGGCACTCACAGCATTGTTGTTAATTTCGAATGGATTTCTTAAGTTGTGTTTGGGCAATAATTATTGCAGTCTGGTATTCACGTGGAGCGGCTTAATGCAGCTACTCATTGTGTTCAGATAACATTTTCGTAGGAACGGCGGCAAGACTACGCTGTGCTGCTATCTTCACGAATTGCCACTAGATGGCAGTAGCAAAACGCCTGCAACTATGCTGTGCCGCAATGACTTATTGTCATATTTTGCCGCTAGATGGCAGTAACAGAACGCCTGCAACTATGCTGTGCCGCAATGCCCTTGGCTCATGCCTCATGCATGAAAGACGTGCGCTTTCTGAAAACTAGACAAGACAACTGACAAGCTGAGGCTCAGAATCTATGAACTTAAATCCGGAAGTAGTAAAAGTGATTGTTATGTTCTAAGGGCCATGATAGCCAGTTGCAACTATTGTTGAATGTGATTTTTAGCTGTTAAGCCTTGCTAATCTTTAATGCCTTTCCACGAAAATCGTTATGGTTCATTTTGTAGTGAGAACAATTGCGGACATGAAATCATTGCACAAAGCCACTTCACCGTTTTATGTCGTGTCAGAAGTGGAAAAACAGTTCGTACTCTCACAGAAAACCTTAGATTGGCTTTCATTTCCGGTAAAAGGCTACGCAACGGGTGCATCGCTCGCACCTACACCAGGCTACAGCGCTCATCAGCCATGTGTGGCAACAGTGCCAACCACGAGCCACGGCGTTGACTCCTGAGTGCGGTCAAATGCTGACACCGATCACAGGTTGACTGGCGCAGTGGTCCATCAACTTGCCGCTTATCGCCTCAGATAACTCCAAGAATTCACTCAGTTTCACAAAGGACAGCGTCTTCCTTGTTCGCCAGTCCGTCACGCTAGCTGTGACGGCCTCACTTATTATGCAACTCGACCTCATTCTGCAAAGCGTGACATCGTTTGTCGATTGTCACCACCGCCATTCTTCAGTTCATGCCTGACTCACTCTTTGTCTCCATTACCAATGGGAATCTTCCGGGCCAGTGTCTGATTAATCTTGCGCAAAATGTTTTCAAAACTGTCCGAGCCCATGTAGTCCATCTGCCCGCGCTCCCAGGCCTCGCGTCGCTTGCGGTCCTCCGCAGCGGCCTTTTCCTTCGACAGTTGAAGTTCTGTCATTCCTGTGACTAAATCGCCATTGCCAGCTTTCTTCTCCGTGTTTTCGGCTTCCGGAATGTCTTCGGAATTCCTCTGTGCCGCACAGACTAGCGACTGAGAACGGCTGACTTTCTTCCCACCGTTCATATTCTCGGAAATGTTTTCAACTTCACGGCGGCAGCGGGTATCCGTTTCTTGCAGTTACCGCTGTTATTACTATGAAGCTCAAGCAAAGTATTCAGATACCAACTTCAATTGTTAATGCAAAAATATTCTGAAGGACGGACGGGAATCAATTCCGCCTGATTCACGGCGCCCTGACACTCGCGCCGGCCTTGCTCGCGCCTGTATTTAGGGCCTTGCGCCAACTTCGATATTTTTCGTGCACCTCGTGCACCAACTCGTTCGTGCACGTGCAGCATCTTGAATTTTAATCGGACTTAATGCTCTCGTGATTTTTATTCATGTGGTCTTCTTCTTTCCAGATTTAGGGGGGGGGTCGAACGGCCCCCCTCGGTGTTTCGCGAAGTATCTCGCGCAAAAAGCGGTCGATCGCGACGAAACTTTCAGTACCTTCGATTTATTCAATTTTGCACATCCCCTGAAAATTTCAGGACCCGACCCCAATGACCTTTGACCTATGACCAGTGACCTATTTATTGAGACAATTTGTGGTGGGAATCGCGATTCGGCGCATGTCAGCTCACATTATCCGCGCGTTTTGCAGTCTTTGTGGTTTTAAACGTTCAGATATGTGAAATGATGTCGGTTAATGCATTATGGGGAGTGTCAAGGTCACGTGAAGGCTAGGTCAGGTCATTGATCTTTGGTGTCCTTGGTTCACTTTATCGAGTATTACATTTACACGTTCCTTTTTTAGGAGAGGAGAGGAGTTTTTTCAGGATATTTTGTATTTAGCACCCATTTGAACATTTACGAAGTACTTTTGGTGCTTTCGTAGCATGTTACAGAGCTGTCAGAGGTGGTTGACACCTAATAGAATACCTATCTGGCAGGACGTCTTCTTTTTGGCCTGACCTCACCCGACCTGGCCTAAATGCATGCATAGGTAGGGGAAGGTGGGGTAAGACGGCCCAGCGCACAGTGGGGATTTTTCCGATCTAGCACGTATTTATTCGTAGAGGGCAAACCATAGGTAGAATTGTAGCCAGATTGTGCACAGATGTTGGCTGGTGTGTCCTGGTGAGAATTTTACCTGTAAATGTGCATAATCAACATAGTATAGGGGGTTCAATTGGACCCCCCCCCCCGCTCAGCCGTTTGGCCCCTGATCAAGCTAGAGCTTCGCGGAAAAGTCAAGCGTGCTGCCTATGACGAAATTAGGCCGAATATATCCAATTTCAAAGTCCAAGGTCATAAGCTGACTTTCCAAGTCAGTTTAATGACCCAACTAAAGTTGGGAAATCGAGACCTCTTGAAACTTCGCAAAGTTAGGGTGTTACGGGGTATTTTGGGGTGCTGATCACGAATTTCATGTTAATTTTGATCACAGACGATGTCTTTATGCATTTAGGCCAGGTCGGGTCAGGTCAGGTTAGATCAATTAGTAGGCGTCCTGCCGGCCATCCATAGAAGTGTCACCTACTACTGATAGATTCGTAACATGGTACGAAGGCACCAGAACTACTTCGTAAATATTCAAATGGCTGCTAAAATCGAAATCAGCACCAAAAACTACCCTAGAAACAAGTAAAACTCGAAAAAGTGAACCAAGGTCATCAAAAGGTCAATGACCTTGACTTGACCTTCACGTGACCTTGACACCCACCATTATGCATGGCACCAACATCATTTCACATATTTGAACGTTTAAAACCACAAAAAGACTGGAAACCGCGGATAATGTGAGCTGGCAAGTACGCCGAATCGCGATTCCGGCCAAACATGGTCTCGAGAAATATGCCACAGGTCAAAGGTCAGTTGGGTCAGAGTCATGAAATTTTAGGTTAGATGTAAAATTGATGATCTCGAGGGTACCGAAAGTTTCGGCGCGATCGGCCGCTTTTTGCGCGAGTAATTTGCGGAAAACCATGGGGTTTTATCCGACCCCTTCCCCCTCCCCCTCCCCACAACTGCGATGGTTAATAAGGTTACGGTATGTATAATTTACGCTTGTCATCCTATTCCTAATGAATGTGTCTCAGAAAATATGCATCATATAAATCACGAAGTAAAATTATTCGCCTATGTCCGGAACATACCTATATCGTGCTGTTTGCCCTAGCGCTCTTCGAGTGGGGTGTTAAGATACTCTAATGTGAATATTCCGTGTTCAGGCAAGTTTCGGCAGCCAAACTAGGCGTTGTCTTGTGCAGAAGAAAGTGGCGAATTCGATAGGATATATTTCGGAGTGGAAAAGTGTGGAGAACATTGTTGATTTCCTACATTTATTTAGAATACCATTCCTTCAATATGGTGTCTGTAAGGGTTTTTTGTAAAGGGCATTTTTGTGACCTTAGTAAGGTTAGTGGCATACTTTCTGTTTGCCATTCCATTCCTAATAAAGGTGCCTTTCAGACGATATGCAACTTTAAGACCTCGCAAGGTTAAAACCAACAGGACAGGACAATGAAATTGAGCTATACTTTCGGGCCTTGCTGAGCCCATTGAGTAATCACGCATGAGTGTGAACTTTGGGCGCATTTTTCCTAGTTTTGCTGTGGACATACAGATAAAACAATGCCATATGTGAGAAATTCAGACATTTCTTAGCCCTACTGACACAACAAATATACAAAAATCCAAAAAATATTTTTTTGAATTAATAGGCGCTAGATCGGAAAAATCCCCACTGTGCAGCGGGGCAAGACGGACCACCAGCCCTCCCGGCTGAACCGCTGCTGGTATCTACTGCTTTATGCACTCACTGTGTTTGTTTTCCTTCGTAACAATGGCCACCTTGAGGCGAGCTCATGCTGCTAGGATGCATAGCTTTTGAGTTATTGAGAAAAATGTTGTTTTTCGTCAAACCGATCTAATATAAGAGGTCTACGGGTGATTCAATTACGGCGCCTTTCTTGCATGATTAGTTTCTATTTTGCACTTAACTGTGAAGAACGAAGTTATAAACTTAGTTATAGTCACACTTTAGAAAAGGCAAGGTTTTGCATTTTTGGGCTATTTGACATATACGTCATGATAATGACAGAATTCAGATTTGGGGCAAGACGGACCACTGTGGTCCATCTCACCCTGTGGTGGTCCATTGTACCCTGCATATGGAAAGTTCTTTTTCAAAACATTGACACAAGTTTAAGTAAGCTAATTTTTCAGGAAGGAGTCTTTGTTGCATGTGAGCCATGCATGCAAGTGCTCATTTAGCATACATTCATGCCAAACGACAATAAACACACATGTTCCCAGCTTTTAGGTGCACTTCCATCACACATGAGTAAAGAATAAAGGCTCATTTTGTTATTTTACCATTCTGGTTACTTTTTCTTACAAGAGTACAGAGAAGAAGTGTAACACACATGAACGGATAGCAGGCACTGCTGGGTGGTCCGTCTTACCCCACGTTTTTTCTTGTCTGAGTTTTTGACATGTCCCTCTTTAAGAGCATCCACCACCTAGATGTCTTTAATTTGAAATTTAGTCTTCACACATATCAACAGAGGAAGGAATGAGCATTCCGAAGACTATAAATAATATGAATTACGAGAGCAGTGTAGCAAGATATGCGGCCTCAAACCTTAGCTGGTCCGTCTTACCCCACCTTCCCCTACATTGCGAATTGCGATTAAAACCAACATGAAGTTAGTGATCAGCACCCCGAATCCCCCCCCCCCCAACAACCTCACTCTACAAAGTTCTGACAGATCTCGAAATTCCCGACTTTTGGGTCACTAACCTGGCCTGGAATTCGGGGTTAAATTCACCGCTGCACTGCCCCCCCCCCCCCCCCCCCCCCCCAGTTAGGACCGCCCACTACAACTAGTTTTACTACAGCGTTCCCCTAAGCTGCCGGCTGGGCCCTGTAGAGGGCGCTGACACTGACTGGTGTCGGGTCGGACAACCTCGCCCGCGGCGGGACGGCGACTGGCGCAGTCGGCGCGGATCCGCCGAGTGTGCGCGTTTGGATAGGTCTTACGGCGGGGTACCACACGCGTCAGCACGTGATCGGACTGTCGGTTGAACCAGTGACCCACCCGTCAAAGGAGGACTTGGCTGGATTGTTGATAGCTCGAACGAGGAGTGACTGTAGTCGACTTCTGACTTTCGGAGCAATTGTGAGGAAATACGCTTCAAAGCTGCTGCGATGATGTCCAGAGTAGTGTGGCTCCTGCTGGCGGCAGTCCTCTTAGAGGCAGCAGGTGAGTCAGGCGCCGAGAAAATGACTAGCACCTTCACCTGCGAGATCGTGTTAGGCTATTTTCAGTTTCCTCTGAATTTCCGGTCAAGATTGCGGTCTCTTGGCAATCGGGATGCATTCTTTAAACTAACCAACATCCTTTAGAAGGCCGGTTTTTCCGACAATGCATTCCACAGCTTTACCTACCGAGCGTTTAGCGTTCTATTCCAGCGGGACCATAGCTTTGCGGTACTGTTTGAGCGTTTCGTCTTCGCGTTTGCCTTTCATTCAAATTAATTATTTAGTCGATTCCGTGTCTTAAGCTGGACTGGACTTTCAACTCGGACGACTAAGACCACCGTAGTCCGAGGTCCTAATATTTACAGCAACTCATTGCTCTAGCAATTCAAGTCATTCTAGCAATTATCTGGAAACCATTGGTCATGGGTGAAAGATTGCCGATGAAATAATACGACCAGCATACTTACCTAAGGCGCAGGTCTACCTACCTATATAAATCATTCCTCGGTCTCGAGCGTTGGGGATAGTGGAGGTCATGCCAAGGTTGAAATGTTTAGTCGCACATGTATTCTTCAGTCCACAACAATGAACGTTAATTCTGGAAATAGAAACCACAACCGCCGTAATAGATGGTAAACACATGCTGGAGGCCTATATGCACTGTGCCTCAAATGCATGCAACGTAATTTTTTTCATCCGATTACATGCACCAGCACATGGATCTTTCCTCGTCTTTTCTCGTCATGCAAAGGAAATGCTTGGCAAGGAAATTTGCTGGCTTTGTGGACCTGGCGTGGCTGGTTTGAGTCGATACGTTTGCTTCTGTTGCGGCCCGTTTCCTTGGCTACTGACCTCAACCGAGCCGAGCAGCAATGCTGCCAGCATTTCATGCCCTGCTGCAGCCCAAATGGATTGGCCAGTGCAGGGTATATAGAACAACGGGTACACCAACGACCTTGCCAACGACGCGGAAAGCGCCCATTTTACCTGGATGAGATACATGTTAGGTGATATATTTTTTGTATATGGAAAAAATAGAGTATTCCATTCTGACGAGTAAAGCCAACAGTTATTTTTGAATTATATGTACAGTCCACAGCAGAAGTAATGTGGGGTTTCAGTCATGGGTATGTTCTGCTTCTGAAGCTTAGGAACGATTAGCCAGACTACAATGAAACTTTGAATGTAGTTTATATGTATCGTCATCCTTGCAGCTGCAACTTTAGCTATTGACATCTTCTTTTCGATCACTCCGCATTAAACAATTGCCAGTCAAAGCCAACCGTTGAGATTGGTAAAACCCTACATTACTTTAGCGGTGGGCTGTACCAGAAATAACATACTAACCATAGTTTAAAACTTAGTCTGAAGTTAGTTGAAAGGCGTATAGTTGATACTAAGATGGAAGGAATCAGTGGAAGGCAGAAATGGCGCAGCTGTTTCATTCTTCAAATCTGTTCGCAAGCAGGATTTGCGTGATGCTAGCGACATCTATGAATGTAATCGGGGGTGCTGATTGGCTGATCGAGTCCGTGAGCAGTATCACTAATTTACGCTAGTACAGGGTTGAGGCAATGTGCGCATGCGCAGGAACTTGTGCTCTCATGGAGGGGGTTTTGGTACCTCGGACAGCGCTCAATGCTTTTTGGACCTGTTATGGCCTCCGCATCGAAAAACGCTAGATAAAAAGGTTGTAGAGGAAGCTTGAGACTGCCTTTCCCCACAGTAATATTGGTGCTTTATCTTTTAGCTTACGTATGGGGCTCGCTTGAAAAAGGTCGATTTAACATGGAAACCCTATGGGGTAGTAGTTTTTAAGCGCCCATTTGGCCTAATGCTACCAACTGTTACTGGCTACCCCTGGGCCAGTGCGGCCCAGTAACCGTGGACACTGGACGGGTCAATGTCCTTGCGTCGTATAGATGGGATCGGGTACCTATACATTTATACGACGTACTTTGACTGCTTTACTTTGCTTTTACTTTGATACCGGACTGCTATATCACCTGCATCAGTTGAAAGCAACGCTACGACGCACCCAAAGTCGTCTTTTTCCTGTGCCCAAGATAAAAAATGTTCCATAATCTATACGATAGTACGAAAATGGGCTTTTAACATTTAATACGCTTTGTCGGATGACGACAGTGCATGTGACAGCCAAAACCGGTTTTCATGCTCGCCTTGTTGATCCGACAGAGCGTTCGTGCAAAGTGGACGGGCATGTTGAGCTGAACTTTAGAGTGCAGCCAGTGCAGCGGTCGGCAGCCAGGAGTCATGTCGGCAGCCAGGAGTCATGGATATGCCCTCGGCACAATAAGGCCAACGACCTACCAACAACGAAATCGACCGCTGCACTGAGGGGCTGCTGTTTATAATGCAGCCCTGTTGTCGACTAATGTTTGGGCTACATGCAGGTTCTAGGTAAAACGGCAGTTTATTCTGTCACCCGTCTGTGTCTCACTCTCCTTTCCTTTTCCTTCCTCCCTCTCTCTCTCTCTCTCTCTCTCTCTCTCTCTCTCTCTCTCTCTCTCTCTCTCTCTCTCTCTCTCTCTCTCTCTCTCTCTCTCTCTCTCTCTCTCTCTCTCTCTCTCTCTCTCTCTCTCTCTCTCTCTTTCTCTCTCTCTCTCTCTCTCTCTCGCTCTCTCTCTCTCTCTCTCTCTCTCTCTCTCTCTCTCTCTCTCTCTCTCTCTCTCTCTCCTCTCCCTACCCGCAGTAGGTACAATGATAACTCGAAATATATCTTCTCATAGCTCCCACAAATTCCCTCAATTTTACTATTATCTGCTCGTCCATTACCTAGATCAGTCGACCCTTGTGTCCCTCCCGCTTCACTACACCGATCAGCCATCCGAGCCCGTTCGGACCCACCCCGCCAACGTCTGTCACTCAGCTGACCGGTCGGCCGGTCTACCGCTCGGGTACCGGCTCTGGCCGCCTGGCCTGACGATCTAGCGTCAGCTCCGTGCGCCCGGAGGCTCGTGTCTATCGGACGTCGATCGCACCGCGGCGCCGGGCCTCTCACACGACCGGCGGCGCGGCGGCTCACATTCCGCGCCAGAGCCGGTGAGAAGACCGGGCAGACAGGCACGCGGACGGGTGGTCTGTCCCCAGAGCCACCGACCGGTGGCGGCTGTCACTCGGGTTTTTTCATGTGACACCTCGGTTCAAAAGAGGGAGGGGGTGTGTGGAGTAAGGAAGGGGAAGGATAGCGACGCTGACATGTTCGGCCTTGGCGACGTGAGGGTCGCTGCTGCTCCAGCTGCCGCTGATCTGCCAGCTGCACCATCGTAGAGTTCTGCCAGGCTGAATTATGCTCAAAAGAAAGCGCAGCGTGCAGACTGCAGTGGCATCGAAGGCTGACTCTGTTTTATTTCTTGATAAGAAAATGTAGCCGGAACTTGCCGATTCGTTGATAATTTTTCTCGTTTTTTTTTAGATTCCTAGAGCCTCGCCATCGAATATCGATCTCTTTTTTAAAACTGAGATAAATGTGCCTTGAAAATCGTGATCAATCCGCCGTCTCTCTACGTCTATCCCTGATCAGCGGGCCGGCGCGGTGCCCGCCCCCTCAGTCGGAGCGTGATACTGTGGCACGCCTCTCCCCATCTCTCTCCCCGGCCCGCCGCCGTCTCAGGCACGACAGGACCGCACGGGGAAGTCATTTGCGCCCCGGACCGGGCCAGACAGGAATCTGGCAGCATTTGGCAGCCATCGGTATCGATTCAGACGTCTGTCGTCACAGAGCAGGATAGCCCGCAGTGCGCCGACGTATTTTGTCTTCAATTCTCTTCGTCGTAGCTTTTGATTCTTATGCGTCCTCGTCTGGCATACATTTGACATGTTTTATGCGGATATGTTTTATTTACACATTAGCTTTTATTTTTAGTTCCTTACATTCCGAGGAACAGTTTTTTATGCTAACAAGGTCTCGGAGACTCTGAGACGCTACAAATACGTTCGTTTACTTGATTTGGCCAGATGTCACACCCGACCGCTAACGACCGGGGTCCATGTGAAAATAAACAGAACACGGCCAAACATCACTGCTGCCGTGTGGGAGTCTCGGTCGGCGCGACCACAGCGCAGCCTCTCTGCCTGCCAGGGGCGGTCGTATGCATACATACACAGACCGCAGCTCTCCCACCGTATGTACGGGCCCACCCTGCGCCCGGTGCCCGTGACGGTGGCCGTGCCGCGCCCGTGACGGCGCAGGCGGGGCGTGACGGTGAACTGCCGCTGACCGGTGACGTCACGTTACGGGCCGTGATGCTGACTCCGACCGGCCTGGACCCGTCAGAATCGAGCTGGGAGTCCGCCGGGCTGGTTGGCGGTCAATGGTTGTTTGAACTGAGTTTGGCGAGTAGGTAATGGGTGCAAGTATGGCGTACAGTCGGCGCCTCTCCCGTCGGGAGAAGAGAGCAGTCCATGGATAAATTTTCCCCTTTTTACCTATCTAAAGCTAAAATTGTGACTGGTCTTCATGTTGCGTGGATAGTGGATAAACGTCAACCTTGGCTTTATTTAATGCTACATGCCTAGAACAGATGTGAGCCCGCACAGCTGTTACGTGCTCTCCCGCGATGGGATCGAGGTGAAGAAGAACAGTGCGCCCGCTTCCGCCAGTGGTCTGAGCCGTCTCGAGACGTTATGGTGCCTGTTCCGGTGGAAGCGCAGTAAGGTGGTGATTGGTGCTGTGTACCGGCAGCCGAGAAATACTTGTTCTGCCCTCGACGCCGACTTCGAAGACCTGGAGTGGCAGTATCAGCACGTGATACTGAACTACCCCGACTGTGCCGTGGTGATTACCGGTGATTTAAACTGTAACATGTTGGGTGACGTTGATGCTCCGGGGCGGCGCAGACTCGAAGCATTTTTGTCTTCCTACTCGCTTATGCAAACTGTTACCGAACCGACATTTACATCTGGTTCACTTTTAGACGTTTTTATCATAAATCGCGATCTTATCCGTCGTACTGGTACCCGTCATTGTCATTTTAGTCC